TTTTGCAATACAAGAAAACCATCCATGATGATATATAACGTGTTTATTTATCTCTTTTTTAATAATAAATTTCATATGACACATTGTACTTAAACAAAGTTCACTAATCTATTTTAATCGAAGTGAGACAGACTCTGTTTCTAATAGTAACAATGAAACTTTCTAGAGAAGCAATTCCTGCAATCATTTAATATGATTTTCGTGTTGGACTGAATGATAAAGACTGTTAAGAACGATTGAAATTAGCTTTTGGAAATGATGCCTCATCCTTTATTACTGTGTTCGGGTGATACAGAAGAATTTCAGAAGAATCGTACTTCCTTCCACGATTGACCACGTGAAGAGTGATCACGAACAACAGTGACTCCTGAAAATGTAACTGCTGTCCAAAAGCATATGGTTGCAGAAGATCATGTACAGTACTTATGAAACGATACAGGAGAGACTATAGATTGGAGCCTCTGCAGTTGCAGACATTCTCTATAAGATACGGTTTTAAAAAGTAGTGTCTCGGTGGATACATCATCAGTTGACAGATTTTCAAAAGTCAGAGTTTATCGTGATCTCTAAGAAAATTCTGGAAATCTTGAACTAAGTTGGACACCAGATTATTTCCAAGATTGTCACAGATGATGAGACACATACCATTTTATGACTGTCCCACGCGTCAAGAAAGCCGGGTATTGATCCATAAAGATGATCTAATTCCATCAAATGTGAAAAGGCAGAGAGCAATAAAACAGTCGTTTATTTCTGTTTTTCCATTTCATTAATCTGGTAAAAGCATATAATCTTGAATAACAGAAGACAGCAGCAACTAATTGGTTCACTACAGTTTGTTTTCCTAGAATTCTGAAGTCATTGAAAATTCCAGGTCTAACTTTGCATCATGATAATGCTTCATCCAACATCGCCAAGAATACCGTTGATTTCCTTCAAGCTAATAATATCAAAATCATTGAACACCCACCATATTTATCAGATTTGGCAATGTATGACTTCTGACTAATTTTTTAATCTTATAAAACATTTGAGCGGTTGCAAATTTAAGACATGGGATGATGAAATCCAAGCTTCCGTGACAGAGTAATCTGAAAGCATTCCAGAAAATGAGTGGCGTCATGCTTTTGATCTTTGGAAGGAATGACTACATAAGTGCATTTTGGACAGAGGAGAATACTTTGGACATAAATAAAAATTAATTAAAAATTTTTTTCAGACCTTATAACTTTTCTGTATTGCAAAACTTTCAGAGTCATTTATGATTGTGTTTAGAATGAGATCTTGTAGTTTTGTGCATAAAGTATAGCCTATCATATGTAGAAGATATGACTTGAAGATACTGTAATGTTATAATTTGTCTATTTTTACAAAATATCCTTAATTATAGTTTGGAGAAAATATATTATTTGACTTTGAATATATGTTTATAGTAACTGATTGCTTAATATAATGTACGAATAAAATTGAACGTTTTATATATAATGTATCAGGGCCTAGCTGAGTCTTATTATTTTTTTATAAAAAATGCACCATTCGTCAGAACAACTATTAATGTCACTGAAATAATTAGAATCTGATTACTGCATTAAAGTTATCAAAAATAAAACATTTTCGAAGAAGTGTACTGTACATTAGGCTATATTTGGGTGTTTTTTTACATTGTTACTGGTGGGTACTATGTGTACTTATGATTACAATGGCTGTGTCTGTACTGAAAATGAACAGACTTATTCTTGTCATTATTCCTTATACAATGCAGTAGAATAACTATTTATATAACATTTAAATTGTACAGATTAACTGTTATAAGTATTTGAGGAATGATTTAAAGTATAGATTATAACTTATGAATAACTTGAGCATCTGCAGTATCCTAGAACCAATCCTTCGTGGATATTGTGGGAAGACTACAGTAGATCTGGAAACACGATAGCTTGATTTATTTTTTATTAGTAAAATGTTATAGAGTTTAATTGTTCTTTTTATCTAAGAAAATGCTATAATTATTCAAAACATTATTATTCTGAAATTAATTAACTAATAAAATAATTAACCGGTTATTACCGTACAATTTGGTAAATATTAAATATCAGGAAAGCCATATCATTTGCAAAAATCTGTAATCGTAAATAGTATAATTTTATTTACACCTGATTTTATAAGTGCTGAAGCAAGTGATAAAGTATAGACTGCATTTAATCTTTCTAATGATAGTAATGAAACAGTTCGTAGAAGTTTTTAGCTCTTTCCGCACTGTGGGCACTAAGAGGGCCTTTTTGTCAAGCCCATTATGGAGCGAAATGGTGAGGTAAGAGGCTAGACATATCCAGGATGGACAGCACATGAAAAATTTTTATAAGATTTTTTGGGTTCCCAGAGCAATAGGTGAAACCCTGGTCGAATTTCTTAACCAGGCTGATATCATAAAACTTAATATCATTTAATTAAAATCTTAAAGTACTTTTTTATGATTTATAATATAATTTAATTTCAGTTTTATTATGTAATGAAAAATAAATGTATAAGTTGTAATTTGGAATCCAATATTCATTTATCAAGTAGCAGAAAGGTCTTTACCGTACCAATAGAAATGGGAAGATAATACTGTGTTATGATACTATATAACATATTTAAAATATCAATGAGTAGAGAAGTATGAACATACAAATAACAGAAAAATGTCACCCGAATATACAAATATAACATTAGAAATGTTAATAATTTATTTCGTAAGAAGAACTTAAGTTTTTAGTGTTTAAATATTGATTTCATTAAATTTAAAAACTTACTGTTTTTGATGAAGAAGGTATAATGCAATGGAGTGACCTTTTCCTATGTTGTTTGATCAAATGTACTGGATAATCCATAATACATGATGGGGCATTACATTTCAGACATTTCTTTAAAGATAAATTTATACGGCGATGATTCTGAAAGTTTTGCAATACAAGAAAGTTATAAGGTCTGAAAAAAATTTTTAATTAATTTTTATTTATGTCCAAAGTATTCTCCTCTGTCCAAAATGCACTTATGTAGTCATTCCTTCCAAAGATCAAAAGCATGACGCCACTCATTTTCTGGAATGCTTTCAGATTACTCTGTCACGGAAGCTTGGATTTCATCCCATGTCTTAAATTTGCAACCGCTCAAATGTTTTATAAGATTAAAAAATTAGTCAGAAGTCATACATTGCCAAATCTGATAAATATGGTGGGTGTTCAATGATTTTGATATTATTAGCTTGAAGGAAATCAACAGTATGATTGGCGATGTGGGACGAAGAATTATCATGATGCAAAGTTAGACCTGGAATTTTCAATGACTTCAGAATTCTGGGAAAACAAACTGTAGTGAACCAATTAGTTGCTGCTGTCTTCTGTTATTCAAGATTATATGCTTTTACCAGATTAATGAAATGGAAAAACAGAAATAAACGACTGTTTTATTGCTCTCTGCCTTTTCACATTTGATGGAATTAGATCATCTTTATGGATCAATACCCGGCTTTCTTGACGCGTGGGACAGTCATAAAATGGTATGTGTCTCATCATCTGTGACAATCTTGGAAATAATCTGGTGTCCAACTTAGTTCAAGATCTCCAGAATTTTCTTAGAGATCACGATAAACTCTGACTTTTGAAAATCTGTCAACTGATGATGTATCTACCGAGACACTGCTTTTTAAAACCGTATCTTCTTATAGAGAATGTCTGCAACTGCAGAGGCTCCAATCTATAGTCTCTCCTGTGTTGTTTCATAGGTACCGTACATCTTTGATCTTCTGCTTCTGGACAGCAGTTACATTTTCAGGAGTCACTGTTGTTCGTGATCACTCTTCACGTGGTCAATCGTGGAAGGAAGTACGATCCTTTTGAAATTCTTTTGTATCACCCGAACATAGTAATAAGGGATGGGGCATCATTTCCAAAAGCTAATTTCAATCGTTCTTAACAGTCTTTGTCATTCAGTCCAACACGAAAATCATATTAAATGATTGCAGGAAGTGCTTCTCTAGAAAGTTTCATTGTTACTATTAGAAACAGAGCCTGTCTCACTTGGATTAAGAGAGATTAGTGAACTTTGTTTAAGTACAATGTGTCATATGAAGTTTATTATTAAAAAAATAAATAAACACATTATATATCATCATGGATGGTTTTCTTGTATTGCAAAACTTTCAAAGTCACCCTCGTATTCATAAAATTCTGCAGTAAAATAAAGCACTATTATCTGTAGACTCAGTTTTCATATCTCTTGGTAGTTACCCGTTCTGTAAGAACTTCCTTTTTATTAAATGAAAAATTATATAATAACGATATAATACATATATGTCTTAGAAATAAAGTTTTAATTTGTAGCAGATAATAATGCAAAGTTGTTCTTAATTGGCAAAGGAGGTTCTAATATACGCTATATGCTGATACCTTATGAAAAATTCGATCTCTGTATTATATATTATTTTTTTATTCACAAATTTTACAGTATCTTTATTTGTTCATTACATGCATTGTGGAAATTTATATTATTTATTCATCATATAAAATTACTAAGTACAAATTACTGTATTACAGAAATCGGGGTGGTCGATTCTATAGAAAGTATCGCCCTCTAGTGTTTGAAAAAATTAAATTTTTACAATACAAATTCTATTGTACTATGTACTGTATTTGTATATCGATATTATAATTTTACATTTTATATTATGAGTTTACATTTTTCTAATAACTGTGCAATTGCACTACTGGTCATGTGCAAGCTTCTAATGTCTGGAAGCTTTCCATTTTTGAACTTGTTTGATGATGTTCTATTCTGTATTCTATGTTCCTTGTAATTTATCTGAAGATGTCAGTTTTAAACAGACTAAAACATTCATATTAGTAAACCTTGTTATAATATTGGACTGGTATTGGTGTTTGAGTAAGTTTTTTTGAAAAGTTAATAANATTACTTATTGCATTTTTAATATAACATTAAAAAAAATTCGTCTTTCTTATAAATTATTGGATGAGTTTTTTTTGAGAACAGGACTTACAACACATTTTACTAAAGTAATGTCGATTGCAAAATTGTAATTTTACTACCAGTTGACAATATCCTACTTTATTGGCATCTGTACATTCTGAAATATTAACAATTAATAAGATAAATAAATAAAACATTTTAAAGAAATTATATAATATCATAGTTATATAATACCTTCTTTCTTACAAGGGATGTAACATGCTCTTAAAATAGACGGTTTTGTATTTTCTAAACATAGATCGCTGGGTTCTCTCTTTAATGAACGACATTCCACCATTCGCATTTGGAAACCATGTCCGCAAGTGACGTTGCACTAGACAAATAACACGGATCATACGATATTGATACAGTCGAACCCCCTATAACACTGTTGATAATTCCGTTTTATATGAATTCCATGTTGTACGAGTCACTTAGATTTTACAAATACGTGAGCCGTTCACAGCCTGGCACACATATTTGTTAAATCTAAGTGACTCGTACAACATGGAATTCATATAAAACGGAATTATCAACAGTGTTATAGGGGTCGACTGTATATTAAAATACATAAGTATTTATTTTTCTTACCTTTCCCCAAGAACTTTTGAACCATCTGTTGGATATACATAAAGATTTCGGGCATTCTGAAATTATGGAAGGTTTCTCTCCTGGGCATTCACTTGGATTAAGTTCTCTTGTCATGTTACTATTCATACATAATACTGTGCGATTTCGTTTACTCATTCCACAAGGTCGACACTGTATGAAAGTGAGAATAAAATTACAATCAGGAAAAACTATAATCATTTTATATATGAATTTTAATTAACAACTGGATTTGAAACAGAAGCGCGGAGTTCATATAATCATTGTAAAATTTAATAGAGAACAATGATTTTGATATTATTAGCTTGAAGGAAATCAAAAGTATTCTTGGCGATGTGGGACGAAGAATTATCATGATGCAAAATTAGACCTGGAATTTTCAATGACTTCAGAATTCTAGGAAAACAAACTGTAGTGAACCAATTAGTTGCTGCTGTCTTCTGTTATTCAAGATTATATGCTTTTACCAGATTAATGAAATGGANAGAAAAAATTTAGTTAAATATAATAGTTTAATTTAAACATGGAACTTTATATCAGATGGGGCCTAATGAAATTATCTGTTAGAAACGTTTTTCAAATCTCTTACCTTAGACCACCTGCCAGTGTACCATACATTTGGACATGGAGATTCATTGCAAGTAGTAAGGTTTTCAGGCCTACTTTCTAAACATAGAGTTTCATTTACAGTTTGTTCTTTCAAAGCTTCTATTTCTTGTGTGCATAAAACGTTTCGTATTTTATAACCACCACCACAACTTTTTGAACATTCACTCCAAGCTTCAATTTTCCATCTTCAGTTTTACATCAATTAAAAATAAGTTATGTGTTATTTAAATACTCAAAATTAAATAAAATATAAATAAACTTGTAACATACTTTGGTGGACATGGATCTTTATTGCAGTATCTACTTCTATCAGACGGTTTATATCCATGACATAATTTTTCTGGAGCTTGTAATTTACTATTTTCTTGAACACACGCAATTTTAGCGATTGATATACCTATTAATTTAATTAAAATAAGTGTATAAATTAAATTTTTTTATCAGCTATTAAGAAAAATAAATTTAATAATTGAATTGATTTGTTTTTGTAATAAGATAATGTAAAAAAAATGGAACCTTTTGCACAAGTTTTAGAACATTCAGACCATGGTAAATGAATCCATCTATAAATAATTTTCCCTCGAGGAGGATCTACTGGAGTATTAAATATATATCTAATTCCTTTATTTGGTTCTTGGAGAAGCAACTGGAATTGAGAAAGAATATATTACATTATCAAAATAAAAATTATATTTACAATATATTTAATGCTCATTTATTATATAATAACATTTCTTACAGTAACAATAACATCTTCTGAAGTCGGCCCTAAAGCATGAATATATTCCAAATGATATTTTGGTCTCATGTAATGGAATTTTGTACCTGCTACATTAAATATTTTTGGCCAATGTATTACGCTTTTGCCATTGATGAGAATTTTACCCTCGACGCTTTTAAGTGCTGTAAATAGATATAAATGTATATTTGTCCAACTATAATTTATTAAAAAGATCAAAAATTATACCTAAAAAATTGGCTGAAGGATGCTTTTCTGATACAAAAATCCAAACAGAATTTTTTGGTATTTTTACAACTTCTTCATATTCTAGTATCATTTAAAAGTATTATTTACAATTACAATTTTGAAATCTTCAAATCGTTTGAACTGTGATGCTTACCACCAATTTTTTCATCTAACAAGTCAGTAAATTCTCCTCGATTTGTTTTACACGTACTACCATCTCCTTCGCAAACTCTGCATTTGTCTTCGGATGCATTCGAACCCAAAATACGATCACAACCTACATGCTGTTAATAACATGTATTTTTATATATTCTTTAGTGATTTATAAATAAAAATAAATTACCTTGCATTGTCCTTCGATACACACATTCATGCTATGAGAACATTTCGTTCCATCTATAACCTTCGTTGCTCTTTCCACATAAAAATCATAACCTGTGGCTTGGCAATAAAGAGAGCACGATTTTGCCTGAGCTGAAATAAATAATATAAATAAGCAAATATTCTTATTTATTTCATAAATACTCAATAGAATTGTAAATACCTCCCGGATAAGGTGTCCATTCATAAAATTTCCCTCTGAAAGGAATATTGTTGAATTTAGAACATTGAACATGGCGAAAATCACGTGAGTCGATTGGGCAATCCTAAAAAAAAAGAACGAAAGAAATATCTAAAAATATTAATATATTTACTAATAATTAGATTATAATTAACAGTATAGCTTTATTTTAAATAATTACCAATAAAGAAGAAAGAACAATACCAATATATTGCACGATCGATATCTCATTCTTTCTCCAGTACAAAATTTTCCACCATACATTGGACTACACAGAAAACAAATAATCGATATTTTATATAATAACAATATATGATGGAAAAAGGGATTGTAAACTACAAAATTACCTTGGGTTATCACAGTATCTTCTTGAAGATTCGATTCCTCCTCCACAAGTTCTAGAACAAATACTCCATTCCGTCCACGGCGACCAATTGCCATCAACACTTTCCAATTTTGTATTATTGGGCATGCATTCTCCATCGTAACAAAACTGAAAATGTATAATATATATTATAAATTTGCTGTCATATTTAATTTGCTCTACATAAAAAATAATATCTTATCTTTTAATCTATTAGAACAATATTTAAAATCCTATTTTTGTTAAACTTTAATTTATAATTTTTTCAACTTACTCCATCAATTGCATCACCCATAATACATTCGGTTCCATCAAGCACAGGTATTTTATTCGTAATGCATTCTCCATTTAGTTTTGTGCACCACAAATAACGGCATATAGTCTATAAAATAAATTGATAAAACTTACTAATTAAAACATTTGTTTTTGTAATTTATTTTAAAATATCTCTCTTACTTTAGGATAATTATAGCAAGGTGTCGAATCTGGTCCATATTGGGATTTACACTGTTCTTCTGCACTGTATTGGAATCCAGGCAATGCTTCGTTATAATTATATTCGTGGATAGGCGGTCTGTTCAGCAAACAATCAGCTTGACCTGAACTTCACGACGTAAGAAAAACTAAATAATTGTCAACAAAATTGATAAAACTTAAGAAAGATAATATACTTTTATTCTGAAATTGTATAATTCTTACTTTAAAAATTCTGTCATGTATTGTCTGCTACAGTTAGACCATGTGATGGGATGACCCAATTGAGAAAGTTTGGAAGTCATAATGTTGCCTTTCCCAATATTTTCAAAACTGCAATCGTTACCATATCCATCATGTTGCATTCCAAAACTGCTAGAAGAACGAATGGGTGAGTTTTTCATTAAAAATTAATTTAAATATAATTTATTTAATTACTTATGGCCTATTTCATGAGCGACAATTAATCCACTAGCTAATCCAATATCTTGAGTAATACTGCAACTACGACTTGGTTCACACATTCCTAAAATTTGAGCTAAACCTGTAAATAGTATACTAATTAATATTTTAATTATTTTAATTTTTAAAATAAATATTTATTTACCTAATGTATCGCAGGGTTCGTCTCGATCAAAACAAATGTCAAATCTAATTTGAAAAAATTATAAATGTTACTTATGATATTTGTAAAGTGGAATTTAAATTCGTTTTACCTTGTTATAAGAACTGCAGTATCGTGCTTTGTTGTATTAGTCTTTACCTTTCTTTGCCATTTACAAAATAAACTGAGAGTCTTTTCTGCATGATGACTTACGTTCAAAAAAGACTATAAAAATATATGAATAAATTTAAAAAAATAAGTATATATACTATATATAGAAGTATACTAAATGTATTGTACTATACTTTCGATATATATAAAATTTTTATTCTTTCAATAAATTAATTAAAGTAAATAATTTTTCTTTTTAATTTTAAGTACCTGTTGTTCTGAAAGCAATATCAGTTTGGTAACAACAATATTAACTGCATTTCCTAGAGACGAATCACGATACAGTTTAGAAACCTGACCTCCAGAGAGACAAAACAATTAGATGAACATTTCTTAAGTAATCTTTTACTTTAAATATTTACTTATAATTTATCAAATAAATAAAATTTTATTCACTTACAATATTCATAATGCATAAAACGTACGATTCAACGTCTTTTCCATGATAATCTACCATTTTTTCATCTACAACAACAAGAGTTTCGACAAATCTCTCTATGCTAGTGGATCGCCGTATTCTTTTAAGGTTTTTTCTTTTTTTTGTTAAAATTGAATCTAAAAATATGATAATTTGATATTGTATTTTTATAATTAAGAACAGAAATAAAATTTAAAAAATTTACACGTACGTTTAATTCCACATTTTGTGAAGTTATATTGACGTTTAAATGAACTTTTTCTATAAATAATATGCGGGTAACCTTCTTCCTGAATATTGTTCGTATGATTCCACCATGGTTCTATCAGATATTCTTGATTATTAATCATAAATATCCCTTGCTGAAATATATAATTTAAAATAATTTTTAAAATATAGAAATTAAAAAAAAAAATTTGACTGAAGTTCCTAGCATCATCAAGCTGGACCGCCACTTATATATGCTTTAACATTTCATGTGATACGAGAGAAAATGTGAAGGGGTTAATGACTATTCACAGCATCACAATTATAAAATAAAAATGAGAGTCAAATATAGAATCATGTCCTTGGCCATCTGGAAGAAGATTACATGTCAAATTGAGGTCATTAATCTTGGACGTGATTACAATGCAGCTTAGTATTATCTCTCTTATTAAAATTTTCATTTATATAGTAAATTATTTTTGTTATTATTCGGAAAGATACTTACCAGTCCATCACAAATGCTGAGAGCTACGAAAGATTCTTCATCATCATTTACTTCTCCGTGATAATGACAGTCTTTCGAATCTGCATCTTCTATTATTCGCCTTCCATTATTATCCCATACTTCTTTTATATAATTACCAGTAATCAATTTACGATTTTTAGTTAAATTAAAAAAATAAATTTTATCTTCTAATTTTAGTTTATAATAAATATATATAGCATCTGATAATTTTTCAGACTGTCTCAAATTATAACCGAGAAAATCTCGATTTTCATCGATTGCAATGGGAATAACTACATGATGACTTCTTAACGAAGATAAAAGATCATCTGAAAGATAAGTATTTAATCTTATTGGCATTGAATTATACAAAACGAATGTAAAATATTAATAGAATGAAACGAATTTTACTATATAATACTTTATTTAGGTTAAGAGATAATTTACATCATATGTCATAGGACAATGATCTAACTCCCACGCCTCATTAACCAGACAGCGCGACTACTACTTCGCCTGCAATGGATATCACGTGTATTCTTAAAATTAGAGTTGACTGACCAGTTCTTACGTGAAAAGATGTATTTTATTATTAAATGAACTTGTTAAGTTTGTATCTATTTTGAGTTACCATTGACAAGTAAATTAACATAAGTAAATACGATATAAAATGAATTGATTATTGCATTTAAAATCATTTCATAATTTTAAATTTACATAGGAAAAGTAATATAAATACTTTTTAACTTTAAAAATAAATAATAAAATTAGTGTTTTTGTTATATTAATTTGCTTTTATACATCATAAAACAAAAATTTTTTTTTGACTTTTTAAAAATAATTGATGTTAATTTCTGTATAATATACTAAGTTTGAATTGAATTTTTTTTTCTTAATTTAAGTATAAAATTACTCTTTCTAAAATACGAGAAAGTTCTTTTGTTACTTTAATGTCAATGTTACTTACATTATATAATAAATACTTTCTTTGCTTCTAAACAATCATTTAAATATAAAAAAAAATTAAATAAAATGCCAAGGTTAGTAATGTATTTTTTGTAGTATTTTTTTTTAGATGATTGTAAAACTAATTAAGTCTTAACAAGACTACAAACAAAAAAGGCAATTTATATCAAAGATAGGAATTTTTGAAATATAAAGTAATTACAGTAATAATAATAACAATAAAACATTTTATATAAAATTCTTATTGATATTTATATTAAAAAAAATTAAACTTACCCATTTTCTGATCTAGGTTAATTTCTATATCAAGAGCTATAGCAGCGGTTACGATAAGGGATCCAAAGAAGCAAGTTTTATTAAGCTGAATCATGATTAAAAATTTTTCAACCAGCTTATCCAGAAGTGTATATAATTATATCTGCAAAACATAAAACATTAAATCGTATCGAAGGAAACTTCGCCTCGAATTCAATCAAGTGGTAAAACATCTGGATACTTCTCCGGACAGACGTAAAAAAAAAGAAGAAGACGACCTGCTAGAAAAATAAGGTGATAATCATAGATTGAATGACTTTTCTCTTATTTAGCTTACTCTTTTAAGAACGAACACGCTAATTTTTTTTATAAAATACAAAGACAATTAAGGAGGCAAAAATCATTATCTTTCGTACCGGTTTATTAGTTAAGAATTTCATGAATTGTATTAGTTTAAAAAATGTCAAAAGAAATTATCACGTATATTTTTTATTATATGAATATGAAAATTATTAAAATTAAGAACTGTTCTTATCTAAATCAATTATTACCTTATGTTCTATAAAAGAAACCGAATTATAACACTGTATCACTTTAACTTTTTTTTTTTCTTCTTCTTCTTCTTCTCCCTATGTGATAATATACCCAGACAGCAATAAAATTAAGAAAAATATGTTCGGAGTCTGAGAAGTACTTGAGTCAACGACCCAGATGAGTAGTAAGCTTTCAGTCTTATCTCCTATTTTATAAATAGAGTAAAAATAACAAAATCATTGCCATATAATTTTACTACGCATATAAATTTGAAATAAGTAAGTCAAAAAAAAAAAAAAGAAATGATAACCAATTTTTGTATGATTTTTAATGGAAATTACTTACCGTCTGTGAATTAAATGTAATCATCTGAAGTTTTTAGACAGGAGAAAGAGAGAGAGAGAGAGAGAGATGAAAATCTATCATAGCAGTATAGAGTTGATATAGTCAGACTTAGCCAATAGCAAAAAGGGGGATAGACTTTCTTGAACTTGACTAATATTCAAGTTCAAAAAGTTGAATGATGTAATTTTGTATTTTTATAACCGCTATATAATTATTTCATATTTTAGTCACATCTCTTCTCAATGAATTTTAAGTTTGAATAACGCGGGATAATATTCAGACTTGTCTAACATCAGTAGACTCTTTTATTTTTATCACGTTCCTGATATATAACACGATTCCGTCTCTTTATTTAAGACTTATTACTGCGTAGAGGTAATAATGTTAAGCACTGAATAACTTAGATAAATTTTCTAGCATTTATCACAATGAAATAAAAAAGATTGTTATTAATTTTTATTTAAAGAGAAAAAAATCCTTGACATTAATATACTAAAACAATGATTTTGAAGTCATAAAATATTTCATAAATTTCTTGTGATTTTAATCGTCTTATATATAATACTTTACTTCACATATTAATATTTTTATCCCATACTTCTTTTATATAATTACCAGTAATCAATTTACGATTTTTAGTTAAATTAAAAAAATAAATTTTATCTTCTAATTTTAGTTTATAATAANCCGTATTCTTTTAAGATTTTTTCTTCTTTTTGCTAAAATTGAATCTAAAAAAAAAAATATGATAATTTGATATCGTATTTTTATAATTAACAACAGAATTAAATTTACACGTACGTTTAATTCCACATTTTGTGAAGTTATATTGACGTTTAAATGAACTTTTTCTATAAATAATATGCGGGTAACCTTCTTCCTGAATATTGTTCGTATGATTCCACCATGGTTCTATCAGATATTCTTGATTATTAATCATAAATATCCCTTGCTGAAATATATAATTTAAAATAATTTTTAAAATATAGAAATTAAAAAAAAAAATTTGACTGAAGTTCCTAGCATCATCAAGCTGGACCGCCACTTATATATGCTTTAACATTTCATGTGATACGAGAGAAAATGTGAAGGGGTTAATGACTATTCACAGCATCACAATTATAAAATAAAAATGAGAGTCAAATATAGAATCATGTCCTTGGCCATCTGGAAGAAGATTACATGTCAAATTGAGGTCATTAATCTTGGACGTGATTACAATGCAGCTTAGTATTATCTCTCTTATTAAAATTTTCATTTATATAGTAAATTATTTTTGTTATTATTCGGAAAGATACTTACCAGTCCATCACAAATGCTGAGAGCTACGAAAGATTCTTCATCATCATTTACTTCTCCGTGATAATGACAGTCTTTCGAATCTGCATCTTCTATTATTCGCCTTCCATTATTATCCCATACTTCTTTTATATAATTACCAGTAATCAATTTACGATTTTTAGTTAAATTAAAAAAATAAATTTTATCTTCTAATTTTAGTTTATAATAAATATATATAGCATCTGATAATTTTTCAGACTGTCTCAAATTATAACCGAGAAAATCTCGATTTTCATCGATTGCAATGGGAATAACTACATGATGACTTCTTAACGAAGATAAAAGATCATCTGAAAGATAAGTATTTAATCTTATTGGCATTGAATTATACAAAACGAATGTAAAATATTAATAGAATGAAACGAATTTTACTATATAATACTTTATTTAGGTTAAGAGATAATTTACATCATATGTCATAGGACAATGATCTAACTCCCACGCCTCATTAACCAGACAGCGCGACTACTACTTCGCCTGCAATGGATATCACGTGTATTCTTAAAATTAGAGTTGACTGACCAGTTCTTACGTGAAAAGATGTATTTTATTATTAAATGAACTTGTTAAGTTTGTATCTATTTTGAGTTACCATTGACAAGTAAATTAACATAAGTAAATACGATATAAAATGAATTGATTATTGCATTTAAAATCATTTCATAATTTTAAATTTACATAGGAAAAGTAATATAAATACTTTTTAACTTTAAAAATAAATAATAAAATTAGTGTTTTTGTTATATTAATTTGCTTTTATACATCATAAAACAAAAATTTTTTTTTGACTTTTTAAAAATAATTGATGTTAATTTCTGTATAATATACTAAGTTTGAATTGAATTTTTTTTTCTTAATTTAAGTATAAAATTACTCTTTCTAAAATACGAGAAAGTTCTTTTGTTACTTTAATGTCAATGTTACTTACATTATATAATAAATACTTTCTTTGCTTCTAAACAATCATTTAAATATAAAAAAAAATTAAATAAAATGCCAAGGTTAGTAATGTATTTTTTGTAGTATTTTTTTTTAGATGATTGTAAAACTAATTAAGTCTTAACAAGACTACAAACAAAAAAGGCAATTTATATCAAAGATAGGAATTTTTGAAATATAAAGTAATTACAGTAATAATAATAACAATAAAACATTTTATATAAAATTCTTATTGATATTTATATTAAAAAAAATTAAACTTACCCATTTTCTGATCTAGGTTAATTTCTATATCAAGAGCTATAGCAGCGGTTACGATAAGGGATCCAAAGAAGCAAGTTTTATTAAGCTGAATCATGATTAAAAATTTTTCAACCAGCTTATCCAGAAGTGTATATAATTATATCTGCAAAACATAAAACATTAAATCGTATCGAAGGAAACTTCGCCTCGAATTCAATCAAGTGGTAAAACATCTGGATACTTCTCCGGACAGACGTAAAAAAAAAGAAGAAGACGACCTGCTAGAAAAATAAGGTGATAATCATAGATTGAATGACTTTTCTCTTATTTAGCTTACTCTTTTAAGAACGAACACGCTAATTTTTTTTATAAAATACAAAGACAATTAAGGAGGCAAAAATCATTATCTTTCGTACCGGTTTATTAGTTAAGAATTTCATGAATTGTATTAGTTTAAAAAATGTCAAAAGAAATTATCACGTATATTTTTTATTATATGAATATGAAAATTATTAAAATTAAGAACTGTTCTTATCTAAATCAATTATTACCTTATGTTCTATAAAAGAAACCGAATTATAACACTGTATCACTTTAACTTTTTTTTTTTCTTCTTCTTCTTCTTCTCCCTATGTGATAATATACCCAGACAGCAATAAAATTAAGAAAAATATGTTCGGAGTCTGAGAAGTACTTGAGTCAACGACCCAGATGAGTAGTAAGCTTTCAGTCTTATCTCCTATTTTATAAATAGAGTAAAAATAACAAAATCATTGCCATATAATTTTACTACGCATATAAATTTGAAATAAGTAAGTCAAAAAAAAAAAAAAGAAATGATAACCAATTTTTGTATGATTTTTAATGGAAATTACTTACCGTCTGTGAATTAAATGTAATCATCTGAAGTTTTTAGACAGGAGAAAGAGAGAGAGAGAGAGAGAGATGAAAATCTATCATAGCAGTATAGAGTTGATATAGTCAGACTTAGCCAATAGCAAAAAGGGGGATAGACTTTCTTGAACTTGACTAATATTCAAGTTCAAAAAGTTGAATGATGTAATTTTGTATTTTTATAACCGCTATATAATTATTTCATATTTTAGTCACATCTCTTCTCAATGAATTTTAAGTTTGAATAACGCGGGATAATATTCAGACTTGTCTAACATCAGTAGACTCTTTTATTTTTATCACGTTCCTGATATATAACACGATTCCGTCTCTTTATTTAAGACTTATTACTGCGTAGAGGTAATAATGTTAAGCACTGAATAACTTAGATAAATTTTCTAGCATTTATCACAATGAAATAAAAAAGATTGTTATTAATTTTTATTTAAAGAGAAAAAAATCCTTGACATTAATATACTAAAACAATGATTTTGAAGTCATAAAATATTTCATAAATTTCTTGTGATTTTAATCGTCTTATATATAATACTTTACTTCACATATTAATATTTGTTTAATAGGTGTTTAACTACTATTTTTCAGACTATTTTTTTCTATATTATATAAAAATATTTCTGATGATAAACAATTAAAAACAGAAAAAAAATTATTTAAAAATTTATCGAAGAAAATATAATAAAAATTACTTTTAATTATAAATTCTTACAATTCCTATCCTTTAATTTCAAGTATAACTTTCATTATCTATATATTAATCTTAATTAATACACATTTTATAGTTGTAGGTTTAGAAACCGAGTTTTGATGCTAGGAACATAACATCTATCTCATATTTATAAGATTATGTATAGATTCTCGTGATTTCTTTCATGAATAGACACGAGGATTCACTCCATATGAACTTCTTAAATATTTACAATATTTATATTAAAAAAAATAACTCTATGTGTAATTTTTTATTCATATTCAGCACTTGTAAAACGAGTGGTTTACTGTACATAAAATGAAACGAATAGAATTAAGTACAAAGTAATATTGATTCGCTGAAATACATCTCCTCCCTTGAGTGTTGTTATTAACGTAAAAGTTTATTTGTAATAAAGTTTACGTATAAGAAAATATATACATCAACCTCACCATAGTGAAATAACGTAGGAAACAGATCCAGATTCTTGATAATTTGAAATATAACTGTGAACATAGAGAGAGAACATAGTATCTCTGTACAACTTGTGGAGAATAAATTATTCTAGATTATTAATTAATTATTCCATATAAATTGTGAAATTAAATTAATTTGCACAAATGAATCCATGACAGTTGAAACTCGATGAACGTATTTCTGTTGCAGAGTCGCCATTTTTGTTTACGAGGCATCCTAGAGACAACAGATAAAAAGATGTTTACGTATAGATAGTATATGAAACTCAAACATTTACTCTATCGATTGATGTACTGTACATCGCATACTTCTCAGGTAATAATTAACATAATTACAGTAATTTAAAATGGTAGTATTCTTTTTGTAAGATCTTATATGATTATTATACGCTGTAGTCTTATGTCGGGAGACTACCAGGCTGTGATGGATTACGGCGTGTTCTTAATTTACATTCTTTACCTTTTTTTTTGGATAAGTAGAGTTTATGGCCTACAAACAGAAAACCTTTTCACCGGATGATTCTCCATTAGATTCTGATGAGAGGAAGATGAAAACACCCTATCAAGACTGTTTTGAAAATGTTAGAATTGAGCAAGTATTGAATTGTAATTTGAATTACTTTATAAGTTGGATGATTACCTGGACATTCTTACAGCGTATCTAGGTGCTGGTGTATAATATAGATGATGCTTTGGTTGATTTCAATATGCGTATTGAGAAGCTGGAAAAAGTATTTTTACATTGTAAATAGTTCGGAGTCCGATTTGTATTTCTTTTCTTAGTAAACACGGGCGAGGAGTAATTAATGTAGAATATATTAAAGTAGGAAAGTGGAGTTGGGTAGACGGTAAATTGATATCTGTTTATAACTCTGATAGTTCTTGAACATGGATTCTTTATATATGATATATAATATATGAATTTGATTTTCAAAGATAGTATTGTAATGAATTTTGTTTCATGTCGTTGTGCGATAATGTGGAGAAATATGGCTCTGAACAATTTGAGGAAAATGAGAAGGTTTTAATATAGACAGGAACACCATAAATCATTGGATAACTCAGGCATTGCCTAAGGGTGGCAGGTTCAGAAAGGCATCAAAATTCGAAAATTAAAATACAATAGACCCCTATAATGCGGGTTCATATAATGCGAATTCGTATATCGCGGCGAAAAAATTGCGTATTCGTATAAAGACGCTAAAAGAGACTCGTAAAATGCGGTAAAACGTCATCGCCGACTCGTGTCGCGACAGGATTGGTTGAATCTGGACCAATAGTGGACGAGCAACCGAACTACTTACATGCTACAGAGAGTTTAGGCGGGTAAGTTGAGTTTACTATCGTCTTTACAGTATATAATTTAGGTACTGTAATTGTATACATTTCTTGTGAAGAAAAAACATTTCTTCAATGGCCATAAAAATTATTTCTATTAATGTTGTCTCCAAAGTTCAACGAATTTTTCTCAGAAAAATAACTTATCAGAAAACGCGCCCGCCGTTTGATGCGCTGCTCCGCGACGAAAACAAGCTTAAGCAATGGCGTCGTCGAACGGTGCACACTCGGTAAGTAATCCTACAATTTTTTGTTTATAGCATAGTTTATATGGATTATTCCCAAAAAAACTATACGTGTTTTGGAAATATTGAGTCAAATTAGTCTAGAATCGATTAATTTTATGGAAGAAAACCTTTCAAACAGCCGTAGTCCGTAAACTGCACACGTGCCGGGCTGTGATTGGCTTATGTATTTAAGGATTCCTACAACACGAAATTCTTATAAAGTGGAACGTATCTACCGCGTTATAGGAGGTTCGACTGTATATGTTATAAATATGGTTTATTCTGTTTTTAATACTAACTTGAATTTCAAAGAAACTTTATACTTATCGGACATCGGATAACAAAAAAAAACATATATTTATTTATATTTCTTCTCTTGAAACCAAAAGTTGCTCCGTATGTTCAGGAGTAATGTTGTCCATTCCCATCCAGAATGAATTTTTGCTGACTCTTTAGAGAAAAATCTCTTGACGTTGCAACATGTTGCAGGTGCATACTTGAAGTTGGCGCCATTAATTATTTGAGTCATCCTCTACTACCAGAGAAACCTGCAATTCGTTTCCTGATACAACGTTATATCTCAAGTACAATATCAAATTCTGGATTTCTATAAGCACTGATTTTTATTTTTTCTTTGATTTTCTACTGGCTTGAGTCCCTACTCACGCCGAAAATTGCAAGTACTAAGAAATGTTCAAGATACCAAATCTTGAACATTTCTTGGTACTGTACAATGGAACCCCGGTTAACGAACGTCCTGGTTAACGACCAAATCGGTTAACGAACTTTTATTTTGCAAAAATGTTGTCTCGGATAACGAACGTAACGGTATTCTGTGTCAAATTTTAGTTGGTGTTAGGCATTCGCGAGTTAAGCATTGCTTTTCCGAGTGTTTGTCTTCTTTTTTCAGTGTTGTGATTTATATATTTAATCAATACGGCATCCAAGAAAGAAAAAAGTCATAGTGGCAATAGAAAACGACAACTCAATATAAACGAAAATGCGCTATCGCATTTGAGAAAAATTTTGATTAAAAGAGTAAGACAATCAACTTTAGATCAATTTCTTGTTCCTTACGGAAAGAATTTGTTTGTTTATTAAGTTACGGCAACGCAACATTTGGGCGATTTGCCTAGGGGGAATGCCTTCTGGGAGGTGTTTTTAAGGGAAACTGGCCCCTATTTAGGCGTTACAGACGTGGAGAAAACCCGGAAAACTCCACGTGGCCAGCCCGTCTGAGCGAAGTGCGAACCCACGAACGAACTCCCCGTGTTCAAGGTACGAAGACCACTTAGCCACTGGTGGTTTTTTTTTTTTTTATCGAAAGAGACTTCGACTCGAAGAATCTACCGATGAAGTGCTACCCGTTATTTTTTTGGAGTGATTCCCCTTCTAAGCATTAAGGTTCGTATATCTCCACTTTTCTGCCACCAACTACAACAAACCAATTTGTGTACAGTACAGTGCTATTTTATTAATTTAAACAAAGTTTACATGTTTCATGCTGTATTGATAGATAATATGTTTTCCTATATTTTCATCAAAGAAAATTATTGTATATTACAAATAAAATCACAAAAATTTCGGAGACTAGAACGGATTAATTGCATTTGCATTAATTTCTATGGGAAAAATTGCTTCGGTTAACGAACAATTCAGTTAACGAACGGAGTCGCGGAACGGATTAAGTTCGTTAACCGGGATTCCACTGTACTTGCAATGTTTCTGTCAGAGTAATCCAACTGTTTTCAACTTCACGATATCCGTGACTAGAAAGTGAAAATGAGCCGAGATTTAAATGTCAACTGCTGAACTATTTTCCTATTTTCAAAAACATCCTGACAATGGACAATGCGATTGGACTAATCACCTATGGACGATGCGATTGGACTAATCGCCTCTTCGACATTGTTGAAATGGTCGTAGAATTTTTACGTCTCAATCCGCTTCCCAAAGTGTTAACTCATATCTGGGAATAGTGGCACTCTTGGTATCATGTCTTGATATTGCTGAATCCTCAAACGTGCTACTACAGATGGTTCCTCAGTCTTCGAAATTAAATTGCTTACTTTGAACATCGTAGCCTACATGCTTTGGAAACTCGGTGGAGATCATAGGCCAAAGAAGTGATGTGCATCAGCTTAGGATAAAACGTATGAAAGTTGTGGATAGCCTTCACCATATACGGAGCTGAATCGGTTAGTAGCAGAAAGAACTTTGTATCATTTTTACCTTCCGGCCACAAGATTTATAAGGAATCATTCACAAACTTGGTCGTTGAAATCCAATTTTCCTACGATAAAACTGACAATAATTTGGCCACTGGAATCTTCGTCCACTGCTATCCAAATGGGCAAGTTGCCAATATTAAATCGAATTTTATCTACAGATAATGAGTATGAAATTGGCTGATATCTTGAAAAAAGTGTAAATGCTAATAACGTGTAAAATCTTCATTAAGTTCTATCCCGCTCTAGATATGACAAGTAACCGCTCTTTATCTCCCCATCCTCCCAATCTTTAACCACTAAAATTTAATAGCTTCAATTTCCTTAATACATAAACCTCTTTGAAAATTTCAGGAATTTTTGACAAAACACACAGGAGTTATTAAGCTTCAAATTGATTGAACAAAGTCGTGCCACCCACATACACTAACATCCATACATACAGAAAAAAAGTTTTCAAAGTAGTTTGCATTGAAAGATGATTGGCGATTTTCAATCTATGGAATTAATTTTACGTTTAGCTAACTGTTTTCGTTGGAATTTAAGAGGAAGTCACGAGAGAAATTCTATTGATATAGAGATTTTGATGCTGAGGAGTTATTTAAATTAAGATTTTCGGTTTTGTCTTGTTAAGAATGACTGTGCTCATAGTCAGAAATGACTCTATCCATTATTCTAAAAGATTTGTTGATAAATGTTCTTTTTTTGGGTAACGAATCTGTGGTTGAAGATACTTTTCGTGTCGTTCATTCCTGTGGAAGGTTTACTTCTACAGGAAAGAAGCTTCGTAGAAAATAGTTGTTGTCATCTATCAATTACCAAATACACCGGTAATTGAGTAGTGTTTTCACTTCGTTTATGACATTTCTAGCATCGTTTCTCGTTTCGGTTCTTATCTTCATTGGCAGTCTGCATGCCATGTGATCGAAAATCGCTATAGCCTTCTCCTCGGCGTATAGCTCAAGTTTTTGTTGTGTCTTTACTATTTATGATAATCTAGTTTATACATTCAGGTACATTGAAGTAAATTCTTACTTAAATCGGCTTATTTAAAATTTTATTTATTAGTATATGATATATAGAAAAAACAATAGAAATTGAATTCATCACACTATACAGACTAGTGAATGCATCACTTATTTGACGAAATCACGTAGTATTTTCTATATTAAATTGTAATTTTATAGATTATAATTTTCTGTAGTAACCTAATTATAGTAAAAAGATTTTAAATACATGTTTGTTTATGATAAAACCACTTTAAAAATCAATTGCTTAAGAACTGTCATACATAAATATGATAATAGAATTTCGAAATATCAATATAGTAGTCTATAAAAAAATTATTTGTTTAATTATTTTTTATCTCAAGTTTTTCTTGATTTATAAAAACATTTGAAAAATGAAAGAAAAACAGGAATAACAAACAAAGCATGGCTTCCTGTTAATATTGCTATCAAAAATAAAATTTTAAAGCCGGATATAGTTACATAGTAAGAATGAAACAAAAGCAAAAATACACCTAAAACAGTAGTAATGGTACCCTGAAATATCGGTAATCCAACATCATTCAAGGATTTTTTCACCCTGTCTTGTATACTCAAATTTTTTGCCACAGTGAATGAGTATGATATATGAGTTGGATAATTGATGGAAAAGCCAACAGATGTTACTAAAGTTACTAAAGATACAATGTCCAGTTTTACGTTCCACATACCCATGTAAGAGATGGTTTCTAAGATCGTACATAAGACAACTAATGCTACGCAGAAGATTGAAACGATGTCAGAAATGAAAAGAAAGAATATCACAAAAATTAAAGCAGAAGTAATAATAGCAATATTAAAAGTAATTTTCTTAATTAGAAAACCTTGTTCGAATATATGAAAATGTAGACCATAAATAGTGATAGGGAGTTCGGAGTTACTAACAATATCATAAACATCTCTCACTAAATTCGTTTCTAATTCTGCTGTTGTTACATTTTTTATAATCAAAAGAAAACGACTCGATGTAATTTCCGTATAGTTTTTATTAAAATTAATATCTTGAGTAAATTGTTTTGCTTGAGGAAATCGTAAGAAAACGTCTTTTAAACCATCGATAAAATCTTGTTTATCGGAAGTGTTATAACCATTTAATAAAATGTTACCAATTTTTTGATTCGAAAAGAAATTGTAATATTTTAGCCAGGATATTCTAAGTCTCGAATCTGCAATATTCGAAAGATTTTCGAATTTTCTTAATGTTTCGTCAATAGATTTTTGAACATTTTTTTCGTGATAATTAATTGCTTTGTCTATAACAATATGCACGGGATAGAGGAAATCGAAATAATTGTATATAGAATAAAGAAATCCCATTGTTTGTGAATCTTTTCTAAACGCATCGGTACCACTATTTCCGAACTTCAGGAACCGAAAGCCCCAAATACCAATTGAAAAATTCAGAAAAAATAATAAAACAATAAATATTTTAGTTCGATTATAAAGAAGAATATTTCCGATAAATTCTTCTAATCTTCTTTTCCGAATAACTTCAGTCTTTCTGTTTTCTGTAATGTATCAAATTGGATTTTAATAAAATGTTTACAAAATTGTTTATAAAACACATAGCAACAATACAAAATAGTAAACACAATAAATATTATTTTGTTATAATAATTTAAAAACTAAAATAAAAAGTAAGAAATAAATAATAAAGTAACAAAATATAAAAAGATATTTGTCTTAGTTAATTTGATAGAAGTGCCCTATGGCGGCATTTATGGAATCTCGACAACACGGATGCTTTGAAAGTTAATTTAGGTGTTGCTGTCTTTAAATGTCATACTGTAAATACAAGATGAACAGTTCGTCATTTGAAGTAATTTTTAAACATAAATTTGCGAAAATTTCTTGGGGAATTACTTTTTCATTTATTTGGCATCTAATTTGCATAGAATGTACTGTACAGTACATTGAACGTCACCTGTTTGGCTGTGGGAATGAGTAGTCGAACTGCTGTTGATTGGGCGAATTTCATACGTCACACTGTGATTGTTTCATCGTCTAATTTTACCGGAATGAAAATTGGATGGACTTAGAAATCGACGAGATTGTTGTGAACAAAAGGAAAAAACTAAGACAACAGTTTGACCTGTTTGTTCAGCATACGAGTAAGAGTTAAATTTACCTTAGGTAGCCAAAATGGCGGCTCGTTTCTGATTCCAGCAAACAAAAGAAAGAAAACAGTCGGACGCACGTTCTAACCTAACCTAACCTAACCTATTCTAATAAATTACCATAATTATTACCAACCAAATTATTAGAATAGGTTAGGTTAGGTTAGAACGTGCGTCCCCACTGTTTCCTTTCTTTTGTTTGCTGGAATCAGAGTTAACTGATTCCAGGAAACGTGCGTCCCCACTGTTTCCTTTCTTTTGTTTGCTGGAATCAGAGACGAGCCGCCATTTTGGCTACCTAAGGTAAATCTAACCCGAGTAAGTTTTATCCAGGAGCAGGACGTGTTTTAGTTTGGAAAGAGCCAGATATTGTACCTCCAGCCCTGAAAGTAATTACCAATAAATCCGAAAATCGTAAGAGGAAAAATGTAGACGTGTGTTAAGAATACGGAACAGTTTCTATCATGGAAAACGATGAAGTTACGAAAGAATCATCCGAATCGTGTTTTTACCGAATAAATCGGAAAAAAGGAATTAGAAATATGTCAACGGTGAGTGAAAGATTTTTTTTTCTTTAAATGCCGGTGTAGTAAGTAGCTGCGCCGATCGCCATCTTGTTTGTGCACGCGACGTCCACAAACAAGATGGCGACCGGAAGTGCCGCAACGGGGACTACCTAAGTTTAATTTTATCATTAATTTAAATTACAGCCGGATTGCTGAGCGGTTAGTGTTGCAACCTGGGAGACTTGGAATCGAACAGGTCGAGAAAATGATCCGTCCGAATATTTCGGGCCTCATTCCTTACACTTGGTAGCTCATTGTGAGTCTGGCCGAACCCATAATGGGCTTGTTATAAAATGACTCTTACTGCCCCGGGGCGGAAAGAATTTTAAAAATTATATTCAATTAAGTCTTTTTAAATTTTAATTACTAGTAATATAAAATACAAAATATAAAAGCATACCCATTTTTTCTTTTATATTAAATATACTCACCATTAACATAGCGAAAAAATAAGCAATGAAGACGCAGTTTTTCTCTGTAACCACTTAAAGCCATGCAACTTCCAAAGAATGTGATCTGGTAAATGTAAGCGAAAGATGTTATAACGGCGGCATGGATACAAAACATACGAATGATGGGAAAGTATGAAAATATTCCAATGCAAAAAGAAATAACGCTGGTAATGGATGTAATGGTTATGGATACGGCAGCTTCTGAATAAGCTTTGCCCATTCTCTTTTCTACAGAATCTTCCGGATTTGTTCTTCTCCAAGCTGAGATTAGAAGAAATGCATCGTCGATTTCCATTCCTAAAACCAACGTTAATTAATTAATTAAAAGATAATGCTTTTATGACTATAAAAAATATTTACACAAAAATCGATCAACCATTACTCTGCTGATTAACATAACTTAAGAAAGTGGGAAATTAAGATGTAATCCTTGTCCTTTGCAGATTTTTAGACAATAAATAACACTAATAAATAAACTTATTGAAAAAGTAAAATAATACTCACCAAGCATACAGTATGATAAAAGTAAGACAAAATCTGCATAGGGAGCACCACAATGAAATGTCAAGCCGAATCCACTTATAATTGCTAAACTTGCAGAAACACAAGCCGAAATTCCAAGCCATGGTTTGCTTTCGATCCAATTATCAGTCATACAAGTCAGTGAGGCAAAAATTGATACAATTAAAAATACAATCGGAATATATGGACACAAATTACTAGTAAATTCTTCGATATTATTCGAAAGTTCTTCAGAATTTGTATAAGATATATTTATATATTTAAATTTTGTAGAAGTTAAAATGATATTTAAAGATTTTTTCCATTCGAAGATAATTTGTTTCTTGTTATCGTTATTTGAATCTAAAGGATAAAATAACCTAGCTGCTCTAGCATCTTTAACATAGTTTTCATTATCTACTGTTACAAGTCCTAAAAATGTAGCGGTTATAATGGTTCGAAAATTTAAAGGATTTAAATAAAATGGATAATTCAATTTATATTTTCCCGTACGAATTTGATGAAGGTTTGGAATCAAATTAATAAAATCATTTTCGAAACATTTTCCGAAAGTCTGAGCGCAAAGATGAGAGTAGTTCCTTTTATATCCACCAAAATCGATGCTAAAATTTCTTATTAAGTAATCCAAAACAGAAATTTCCTTCAATACTTTCTCATCTATTATACTTTTCATGTGTTTTTCGGTAACGATAATTATATTTTCCATTTTTGTAATTCTAATAGCATCGACATAATCAGAAGTATTTTGAGGAAAAATACTTTCTACGTATTCTTTGTGTTGTATTGCCTTGCCGTTTGTTGCTGTAAACAGATAATCAGTATTTCTATTTGAACTCACTCTCAACACTCCAGTTGCCAATAAAGCACTCATGATAATAGGTGCCAGAAGAAATACGAGTGGGTAACCAGCAATTAATTCTCCTAGACTCGTAAAATAGCGAGAGAAATATTTTTGCACTATTTTCATATCTTCCTCTCAGTGTTCTAAAAATATAAAAATGAATGAAGTAATATTAATTAAAAATTAAATTAATATTTAATAAAAAGTAATAATAACAAATTTTTAAAATAATTAAAGATAATACAACAGTTAGAGTTAAAATTAATTTTTTTATATAAAAAATGCTAGGCTTTAGATAAATTAACACTGAAAACACTGTCTTTTCAACGTTATCCGTGTTTAATGACGAAAAAAAAATGTTTCCGCAAAATGGAGGCTCTAAGGGGCCAGGCAGAGTTGCCGCTACAATCTGCAAATTGATGATTTTCCTTGTTTTTCTTAGGATAGTTTGGTGCGGGTCCCTCCATCTTGCGTGGCATATTCGAAATTATCCTTTGAGGCAAAAACCCATAAGCCAAGATTTCCTTTGCGCCTTCTCGTATCCATCCCACATACTTCTTAGAGCGAGAGTTAGCAAAGTTTCTTAGATTCTTAATGCCACGGTCAGAGCTGTAGTATCCTCTGCAATAGAATCAAAAGCCATAATCAACAGAATACTTTGATCTTTATCACCAAATGGGTTCCGATTTTACAAAATAGTTTCCTTATATCCTTCTGTACCCTACTTTTAGGCGATAATGCTAGCCAATGTACTATTAATAAACAAATTTTGTATGCAATAAGTATTGGAAATACGTGAGACTCTTTTACTTATAACGGAGCACAATTATTTTTACTTTTATAATAAAATTTATCTCCAAAAACAATTAGTGCCAATGAGCTTGCCTCTTTCAGCAGTCCTGGCTGAGCTAATTATGAGAAACATTGAGTTTACAGGTATTTACTGCACCTCTCGTAACAAATTATTTACTATTGTATATGTTGAATATATATTGTTAGCATCTGATGAGCTGGCTCTTATTCAGCGTATATGCTTCACGATAGAAAATCAGAAGGCTTCCAAAATACAGTTTCTATATCATAAAATAAATAGGTTGCCTACATTTTGCTTTTTTATTTACATAAAAGAAACGGTTCAAATTAAAATTATTAAATAATTTATTTATAAATTAAAAATTAAATTTAGATTTAGACATAAGAAATGTATTAATCCTTACCAGCAAAACAGTCCTTTTGAAAATTTGGTAAGTAAGTTACAATTCTTTCAGGGATGAAAGCTATAGACAAGTTAAAATAAAATGAGGTTTCTGATATAGTTCTTAAGTAGGTTAGCTTATCTAAAAACTTACTTACATAAGTTAAATGTTTATATTTTGAGACATTCATCTATTACATTGGAACATCCTTATTTATATTAAATACGAAAGTGTTTTTTAAAGAATTTCCGATATTTAAATAACTATTTGCATATAATTTAAAAATGTATAATTATCTAAATACAAAAAAAAAATAAGTAAATGAAAAATACATTACGAATGACCAAACTAAATAAAGAAAATAGATCTATTTATATTTATTTTTTTCGTGTATGATATTAAAATCTCTTCGCTGGTACGTTCAGAGATGACATTCACCATTTTCGATTTCACATTAAACTTAGCTTTACACTAACAAATATATAAATAACTAGCTGTTACCCGCGACTTCACCCGCGCGGATTTTGCAAGCAAACTCTATTTATATTCAGTATTTCAACAACTATAGTAATTGTTATATAACACCTACCGCTGAGAATGATAAGAATTGCCGAGAATCAAACGAACTGTTTTCAATTTGATCAATTTTCTGGAACGTTTACAATNCCTAACGTAGATTTATAAACACAAATGTAACGATATGGAAGTTAATTTCAACAACTTATTATAGCCGACCTATTTACTTATCTAATAACCTTGTTATTTATCTCGTAAGTAAAATGTTATAATTATACACAATAGCGGTTAATAAACTTTATGACTTATACATTAATTTATGATTTTATATAACCAGCATGATTACAGGCTGTTGACTTTATTAATAAACAAAAAAAAATAGGCCCTAAACTATGCTTGTTAACGGTTAAAATTTAATAAACGTATTTCTAAAATACAAAACAGCCTTTAACATAAGCTATATAAAATTCACGAACATCAAATTTTATTCTATATCTTCATTAGTTGTCGATAAAGAAACAATTTACCCTTTTGAAGCTTTATAACTCCTGTGCATTTTGTCAAAAATTTCTGAAATTTTGTAAGGAGGTTTGGGTATTAGGTGGGTTGATGGTATTAAATTTTGGTGATTAAAAGTCGAGGGGGTGAGTAGATAAACAGGGTCTTGTGTCATATCTCCAGTAGGGTTGGACTTAAAAGACGATTTTACTCGTTATTAGCATTTACAATTTTTTATAAAAACCTATCCCTACCCCGAAAATTAAATTTTTTGCCATTTTATTATAATTAAAAATATAAAATGTTTTTATATAAAATATCAATAACAGATGGAGCCACTAAATGTTGCCGGGAAAGTTAAGCAACTCGTTGCTGGATATTTTTTAATTGTAAATCTCACACCATTTTCTCCACTTGATTGTTTTACTAATTCGTTTACGAATACGTTGATTGGCTTATCCCAATAAAATTCATTATCAAAGCTTGTTTTTTTTTTATTTTTATTTAATCTAAATATGTAAAATTATATAAATATCAACAACTCATAGCCCGAGTAGTAAATACATCACCAAACGATCGCCTAAATATCGGGCTATAATATGATTGGAATAAATATTATAGCCCGATATTTAGGCGATCATTTGGTGATGTATTTACTACTCGGGCTATGAGTTGTTGATATTTATATAATTTTACATATTTAGATTAAATAAAAATAAAAAAAAAACAAGCTTTGATAATGAATTTTATTGGGATAAGCCAATCAACGTATTCGTAAACGAATTAGTAAAACAATCAAGTGGAGAAAATGGTGTGAGATTTACAATTAAAAAATATCCAGCAACGAGTTGCTTAACTTTCCCGGCAACATTTAGTGGCTCCATCTGTTATTGATATTTTATATAAAAACATTTTATATTTTTAATTATAATAAAATGGCAAAAAATTTAATTTTCGGGGTAGGGATAGGTTTTTATAAAAAATTGTAAATGCTAATAACGAGTAAAATCGTCTTTTAAGTCCAACCCTACTGGAGATATGACACAAGACCCTGTTTATCTACTCACCCCCTCGACTTTTAATCACCAAAATTTAATACCATCAACCCACCTAATACCCAAACCTCCTTACAAAATTTCAGAAATTTTTGACAAAATGCACAGGAGTTATAAAGCTTCAAAAGGGTAAATTGTTTCTTTATCGACAACTAATGAAGATATAGAATAAAATTTGATGTTCGTGAATTTTATATAGCTTATGTTAAAGGCTGTTTTGTATTTTAGAAATACGTTTATTAAATTTTAACCGTTAACAAGCATAGTTTAGGGCCTATTTTTTTTTGTTTATTAATAAAGTCAACAGCCTGTAATCATGCTGGTTATATAAAATCATAAATTAATGTATAAGTCATAAAGTTTATTAACCGCTATTGTGTATAATTATAACATTTTACTTACGAGATAAATAACAAGGTTATTAGATAAGTAAATAGGTCGGCTATAATAAGTTGTTGAAATTAACTTCCATATCGTTACATTTGTGTTTATAAATCTACGTTAGGCTTTATTACAGTTTGTAATATTAAAAAATAGAAGAAATGAAATTAAGTTTTAGCTTAAAACATTATAAATTCTATTATAAAATCAGCTTTTATTACATTTAACTGTTATAAATATTTGATAAGAAGTTACGGTTTAAATTAGAAGCAAATTTGAACCGTAAAGATCCTATAATTACGGCATTTTCGCGGTTACGACAGTGTTTTCATTCCTCTTTTTTCCTCTTAAAACGTTCAAAACGTTCGTCCATCTGTCTTTCCTTAATCTCGAGAATGGAGTTAGATAAAAGACGAGAACAAATGTGAGAACTTTAAGAGCAGGAGATCCCGATTAACTAGATATTAACCTCCAAAATAAACAGGAAGTTGCGTTATTTTAATATAAAACTTCCCTTAAAAGCAGTTAATTAATAGATGACTGTTGCTAGCAGGAAAGTAAGATGTACAGGAGAAAGAAAAGACATTACTAATTTGAGATTAACTACGTATTTTATATTAAATTAATTTAAAATACTATTAAAAATTTCAGCCTGGCATTGTGACGATGTCACAATAAATAATTGCTTGTTATAATAACATAACTAGTACCATACAAAAATATCTTGTTGAATTACACAACCGTAAACTTTATAACAGAACACAATTGATTAATCTTTTTTTGTAAATGCGCGTTAGTTAAAGAAATTTCATATATATTTAAAAATTCTCTATGCAATAAGTAAAGTTTATTATTATAAATATAATCATTATTAACGAATATATTGCATTTTGTTATAAAACAATGTAAACAATCACGAATGTTTTGGAACTCTGAAAAACATGAACCATCAAGGTATAAAATAGAATAATGGTATTTCATTTTATATCTATGCTGCATTTCATTTCCATTTTTAATGTTTGCATTCGATTGACATTTTATCTATACATAGAATCCATAATACCAGTTAATGTCTCAGTCAAAATTTCGCGTAGTTCTGGATTCTTTATATTTAATTTTTCATAATAATTGTTTTTCCCCCTCGTGATTTTCTTAATTACTTTCTTTTAAATCATATTGTTTCTCTTATATTTACTATTATCTTCATGGCTATTCATTTATATATTATTATGCAAAAATAATTTTATTAATATAATAAAATTAGTTATCCTATTAACTATAACGGCAACTCTCTAACACTTTTAAGTATTATATGTATTTATATTATAAAAATCTTTCATTTGAGACATCGGTCACCACTATACAGTAGATCCCCTATAACACGGTAGATAATTTCGTCTTATATGAATTCCGTGTTATACGAATCACTTAGATTTTACAAATACGTGTGCCGGGCTGTGAACGGCTCACGTATTTGTAAAATCTAAGTGACTCGTACAACACGGAATTTTATCTACCGTGTTATAGGGGGGTCTACTTGTAAATGAAGATCAATATCTTTTAAATAAACTGAAACTCAAAGCAAATTACTAAATTAACTTCTATTAACAATATTTTGTTAATAGAACTTTCCTGTATTCGTGATCTAAAATTTTACATATTTCAGGACAAAAGATTCCTTTACGAAATTCTAACGTTGTAAATTTAATTTGTAAAAATGAAGTAATTCTAGAAGCCAACAAAAATTACCTTCTGAACAATAGTTCCGTTTTTCGATACCAGATAGTTAAAGCTACCTTGGAACACAAGAGTTGTCTGCAATTGAACTATAATGACGACATAGTAACAGAAATGTTAAAGTGAGGATTCGTCAAACGATATATTTTTTTAATATAAATATTATCTTAAGTAGTTATTTATTAATGTTATAAGTATTAAAACATTATATTATGTCATTTAGTATATGCACTGAAACAAATAACTAATTAAAACTGGTTGTTCTTATGATGATTTAAATAATTATGTATCTGATTTTATAATATTTTAATCTAAAAATTCAGTTTTTCAAAGTTTAAAGATAGAAGTATTAATGGCCTTTAATTAAGCGTTATGCTTTACAATACATATGAGTTATATTTTATAATAATAGAATCTCATGATTGTAGGTAACATTTTTTAATATTGATTATACAGGAGGGGTGCAAAAGTAGGTATACAGTTGTTGTGCTGGAAAAAAACGTACAGGGCGAAAATAGGAAGAAAAAACATTTATTTTTATGTACAAATTAAATCACAAATAAGAAATACGAACTAAAAAGATAATAAAAATGAACACCAAACATTTGTATTTCTCAGATTCTCAACTGTATACGTACTTTTGCACTCCCTGTATATTTAAATTTACAATTAATTATAATGTTTTTGATTGATTAAAGAAAATATGTAAATAAGTAATCACTAGTGCCGAAAATTTTCGCTTTTGGGGAATTTCTCAGCTATATTCGCCGCGACTTTGCTCATAATTTAGCTGAAGTGTGATTTTATTTAAACTCAGTAATAGAAATAATTAAGGACGAAATTAATGGACATGATGTCAGTTTCATTGTTGACGAAACTAGTGACAAAGTGCAACGTAAAGTGGTCAACGTGCCTGTGGGAAAATTGAATGGTGAGAAAGCAAAATCAATGTTAATTGATGCGACATTTCACTCAACAGTCGCCTTTATAATACAAGAATGTATACTCAACGTGTCTAGAAAATTGTGTCCAAATGATTTAAAATATTTAAAACTGAAGTTAATTAATAGTGACAGATCGAACAAAATACATGATAAAGGCAGTAAGTGAGATTAAGAAAAATTCATTGATTTTTCCAAATGTACACCAAGTCAGGTGTCTCGCTCACGCCTTACATAACGTTGCATTTAGGATTCTGAATAAGTACAAATTAACAAATTCGCATATATCAGAAATGAAGAAGTTTTTTTGTGAAGTCAAGAGAAAGACAAAATTATTTTAAGAATGCAACTGGAGTTAGTAATAGTCCTCCAGAACCAATTGTCACTCGCTGGGGGTCTTGTTTAAACGCTGCAAAGTACTATGTCGATAATTTTGATACTGTTGAGCGCTTCATTTTGAACTATAAACAAAAATCTACTCATTCAAATGCTAGAAATGTTTTGGTGAAACTAATTGCGAGAGAAGAAAGTTAACCTCAGGAAAGAATTATTTGATCTCCGTAATCTCATTAAGCTATCAAATATTATAATATCACTGGAAGAATATGGACTCGGTGTAACTAAACAAGCCGAACTAATTGAAAATGCAAAATAAATTGTTTCTGGTTATCCTATATTTTCTCTAAAATTAGAAAAAGTTTTGTCAAGAAAACCTGATCTTATCAAATTTACGTCTTTTGATATAATTTTAAGTGATAAAGTTAATAGCGAATACGCTCCTTTAGTTGCAGTCGACGTTGAACGTTCGTTCTCAATAGAGAGGTTGCGGTTGAAGTTTTCATCTCTCAAACGTGAACGTCGAACGTCGAGCGCCGCTTACAAGAAGCGGCGCTCGACGTTCGACGTTCACGTTTGAGAGATGAAAACTTCGGCCTCAACCTCTCTATTATATTCATCGATATTGAGCGATCGATGTCATAGTTTAAGCGAAGATTATTCGAAATATCTAACTTCTAAGTATAATTCGTTTTAACTCTTTTTTGAAATAAATAACTAGCGATTTTTTTTTTGCGAATTTAAGGCAAAAAATTGCCGATTTTAGGCTCAAAAACTGGCGAAAACTTTCGGCTCTAGTAATCACTATAACAATAGAAAACAATATTTAAAAATTTGAAATGTTTCTTGATAGTTTCTTCGAAAGTGATGATGTTAAATTCGATAATTTAGAAAAGGCGAAAGAATTGTTTAAGTTATCTCAAAGCTACGAAATCGTAAAATTAAAAAGAAAATGTAGAAAATATTTACTTAAGAAACTCAGTATCCGTAATGTTTGCGGATTACACGATTTGGCTTATGAAGCTAACGATCAAATAATTCAATATAATTGCTGGAAGATGTTCGACCGAGCGGCCGATTCTATTTTCATCACAGAAGATTTTATGAATTGCTCCGTCGCTACTGTTTTCCGATTAGTTTCTCGTCCAATTTCAACAATAAGAAACGAATTATATTTGTTTCTTGGCATTTATGAATGGGCATGTCGCAGAAATGAACGGTCTGAATTTAGACAAAATATCCGCTTTTACATGTCGCCGTTTCTTCCTTATATACGATTTCTATCGATGGACCGATCCGATTTAGAACAGATAGTTTTTCTATTAAATGTTCTTAATCAAGAAGAAATTCAAAGTATTCGTGATTATAAAGAAAAACAATGGAATGACTCGATGAAAAATTTCCCAAAAATGATAAATAAAAATTCAATGTCTAGAATACCTGCAATATATTATAGTTTATTCGAATACAAGAATCGAAAGTTAATAAAGAAACGTTCTAGAAAATTAAATGATAAAAACTATTTCAAAAGTGAATTTATCGTAAAAGAGGATTGCTTCTTAATTAGCATTCAAATTCCAATTGATTATAATCGAGATAAAAAATTAAATGTTGTCGTTAACTTCACAACACACGATATATCCAGTGAATACGCAGAATGTGATAATTCGGGGAATATATTTCTAAGAAGACCAAAATTTATTTGTAAATGTAATCAAAGTCACGAGGTCGAAGTTCGGATTCCTCCAGAGGAACGAATCAATCATCCCGATATAAAGGTTCGATCAAATTCTGATTTATATCTGGCAAAAATTCAAAAGGAATATCGTTTCTTGTCAAGAAAATTTTACAGAATTAAAATAAATAAAAACGTCATATTTATGGAAGTGACATTTTGGTTTTAAAGTTAATTTTTCAATGCTGTATTTTTTTAATTACTTTATAAAATACTTTATTAATGGTGTTTAATTTTTTTCAACGTTTCGAATATGAGACATTTCATACTTAAATACCTTAAGATTTTAATTAAATTATAGTTTATCTTATTAGAAAGGATTTCTGCTTCATATAGCTACGAAATAAATTTCGTCCTTAAATTTCCTTGAACATTATATGTATGTATTTATGTATTTGTTTACTTAAGTTCAAACGTAATTTCTCAAGTCTATAATAAATAAATAAACATGATTTAGTTGCTTCTCGAGACCTTAGCATAGTAGTAACAAGCATAATGGATCACTATATCGTCGAATTTGCTTCGTAATCTCGCAACATTCCTTGTACTACACCAGTGTTTCTCAACCTCTAACGAATCGTCGCCCCCTTCAACGTAGTATCGCACCCTTCACTTCAAAATTCCGATACCGAGGGCCAAGGCTAACGCCAAATTTGTACTGCATTGAATAGACTAGTAACTAGTATAATGTTATTTGTTTAATTATTGTACGATATAACGAATAAAATATCTAATTATTCTTAATATAATGTTTTACTATATCACCCAGAAAATTGTTTTTTCGCCCTCCCAAAATATAAATTGTTACTAATCGCCCCCTCAACATGGAAAAACGCCCACATGGGGGGGCGATATCGCCCCCGTTGAGAAACACTGTACTACACGAACCATGCTCTGCTGGACTATCCGCTTCATCGATGAACAAGTCGGAGATTTGATGCTCAATGATCATCGTTTAACAGTTAGGAGCGTTATTGAACGTTCCATTATTATTTGGATTCTGTCGAGCAAGATGATGAATGCAGCCATTGGAGATGAATTGCCTTTTCCAATGGCTTTATTCAACACACTCAACTGTTCCAACTGACCGTAGCGGTAGCGGGTACGTTACATACCAATTCTGTATCTGTGAATGATGAGTGACTCCAAAGCGCTAATGTTATTCACTGTTGTTGTTTTCGTCATGGTTAGTACCTTAAATAAATTCTAATGGTAACCATGACGTCAAAACAATCAAAATATTTGAAAATACTGCTGCTACAGAGGACACTCAGCAAAAAAATTATTTAACTGTTCCCTAATTCTATAGACATTTTGCGATATTTTAGGAGACGTTTTGTTACTCGCCTAGACACATTGAAAGACAAAACGTTTTGTCGCTCTGCCTAATCATATTGGGACAAAACGTGGCTGTTCATTTCCAAGATGGACTTCATAGAGATAGCAACGATCTGTGCCTTAGAAAACTAAAATAGAACGAGCAATTACTTATCGTGACAATGCCCGGGCTGCAATTTTTAATTATAATTTTTCAATTTATTTAATTTAAAATATATGCTCTCCACCTCAAATTAGTAGTGTTTTGCTCCTGTACAGTATATTATACTTTTCCTGTTAGATACATTACTGGCACACACTGTTGCTAACACCGTTGAAAGGAAAAGTTTTGAATTGAAATAACTTGACTTGTGGTAGAAATCGAAAACTCATATAATTAATCTGGTCCTTTTTCTCTCACGATTTTCATGTTTGTTGTCGAATTACATTTATTCAGCTCCGTTCTCGAGATGGAGGAGTGACATACAGACAGCGACAGTGGGAATTTATAGGTCTACAATTTTTTTTCAAATTGCAGTCCAATAAGTATCCACCAGTAACCGAGTGGATGAAACCACCGAACACCGGTAGTCGGTCATAGGTTCCCGCATGGTCAGCGAACTGGCCACGTGGAGTCTTCTGGGTTTTCTTTGCGTTAGTAACACTTAAATTGGAGCCAGCATTACATGAAAGTCTTTTTGGGATGCATCCCAAAAACATCTGAACGATTAAAATTAGACAGTTATATGCTTGGGCTCTGGCAGTACAATCCAATGGGGACCAGCCTTCTTCGCTCTCGAGGTCTACAACTGTAGGTCTCTGACTAATGCTCGGTATCTGAACTGGGCCCCTCCGCCCATTCAAAGTAACATATATGGCCAATGTAGGCAAGGCTAAAGGCTAGGATTGGTTAGGCTAGAACCTATCTGGCCCTCAACAGAAGCGCAATGCTCACGAGACTAAAAGGATTTGACGGAAACATTGTAAAGAGGTCTTTAGACGTATAGCTCAGCTACATGCTAGGTGGGCCCTTTGGGAAGAGGCCCCGCAGCCAAAAAGTTAAGCATCACACATTTCTTGGTTGAGTGCGTGTAAAATAGCTTATAAAACTGTACAAAACTGCATGTCAGCTTTAGAGAGTTGACTCGAAAGCGAAGAAGAATGGTCCCCATCAGAATGTACAGCCAGAGCCCAAGCATATAACTGTCTGATTTTAATCGTTCAGACACCTCAGTGACTACTGAGGTGTCTGACTGCATATGATTAAGATTTTATACTCTGTAGTGTCACTTGGCAGAGCAGGGTCAAAATACTTATAGTTGTGATATGAGGCAGAGGTTATCGTGTAGCACAAGCAATAAGGGGTAGTTTTCCATAAAAGTCCTTCCGAGAGCCATTTCCTCGGCAGATTGCCAACGTGTCACGTCGCCACAAACGAATAAACCAATCTTTCCGTCATAGAATGATGTCAAATCCGGTCTATTAACATAATCTGCGTATTTTTCTCCGCACTTTTCGCACAATTGAAATCCGACGTTTACGAATTGAGTCGAATCTTTTATTGGGTAAAAATTAAGTATTGGCCAATGAGAAAGCGTCATTTGCATTAACCTAATTAAATTTACACGATTTTCAATGCAGCTAGATAGGACTAATAGGAGATAACAATCAAATCATTGTTTGAAAGAAACATTTCTCGTACAGATATAAATTTGTAAATTTTAATTTTACAAAGTTCTCAAGATTTTTAAGTTATTTTTCGCGAGACTCGCATCAAGAAAAATTACTTTCTTCAGTATATAACTGATTTCTCAAGTTATTCTGTATTTATCAGATTTCTTCAAGGACAAGCTATTGATAAATTTCAAAAATACTGTGTTTATTTTAATTGAATATTCAACAAGTTATTGATAAATTTTAAGTTGATAAGTTTTCAAGAAATATTTAAAAAGTTGCTAATAAATTCCAAAAATGCTATGTTATTCTAATTAAATATTCTCAAATTCTGGGTTTAGATATAGTTTCAATTATTTATTACGTAATGTATCATTATCAATTATTTGTAAATATTTTATTAAAATACTGATGTTGTAAATAATTGTAATTCATTTCGTACTTTGTAGCCTACCAGTGATCAAGTGGATAAAAATCACTGAACTTTTAAAATCCAGTCGGCCATTATTCATAGTTTAATGACTGAACGCAGATATCGTGGGACCACATGTGATAGAGCCCTAGATGTTACCGCGCATGGGAAAAAGACAAGTCTATTGTAACAATAGGGTCATTACTTCAGGAAATGATAAACTATAACTCACTCACAACGCTTGACAACGCGCACTGGTTTACATTAAGAGGGCATTTTTTAGCAAGCGCAATAAGGGTTCGGCCAGGCCCACAATTGGGCAGCCGGGTAGTGAGGGACGGAGCCTGGCTTATCCGGACTGACCACCACCGAAAAATTCCTGGAGATTTTTTGACCCGTCCGGATTCGATCGATCCCAGGTCCCTCAGAACGGTAGGCTGATACATTGACTGCTCCGGCCGTCCGGGATCTATGGTCAGAGAACTGTTGGTCGTCACTTTGCCCTTTGACAACGGGCTGGCCACGTGGAGTTTACCGGTTTTCTTCACTTTTGAAGCATCTGAGTAGGAACCAGTTTCCCATAGAAAGTTCTCGTAGGAGGCAAATCTCCCAGGTGTGCATTGCCGTTACAAACAAACATTTCGTACTTCACAAAAATAAGTTACAAAATCATAATTTCCGTAAGGTGAGTTCTTTAAACTCATCTTACGGAAATTATCAATCAATCAATTATTATAATGAATATTCATATTTTTATATGGATAATCTAAAGTGTTCTATATTAAAATTTTTTAGTTTTCTAGTCCGCGAGAAAATTTTGATGATCCATGGAGAAATTTGGACATTAATCAACTCAAGGTTACATGAAGAATTACCAAAGAAATGCAAAATGCTTGGTCGCTTTTTCTCACTCATTGGGGTTTTTTTATTTGAATCTAAAACCACACACAAAATGACTTTTATCAATAAATAACAAGTACAATAAATCAATAAATAATGTAAGTGTCCTTTATGGAAAAGCCAAGAATCCATAAAATTATTTCAAACAAGCAGCAGCAAACTACACTAATTTGTTATAATTAAACAAGTGAATTTCATATTAATAAAGTAATTACTGTACACTACTATAACTTCTTGCCCATATTATTATTACAATTTTTTCTGTTAATACACAAAAAGGACTCATCACACTGACTCACTAGACGAGTTTATTATTTAATCATAAACAACTATATACATGCATACTATTACCAATCTAAAATGCATTTCGGATTTTACAATGGCTCCTCTTCAGTTGGACATTGTTGATAATTTAAACATTAGGTGTATAACAATCTATTAAAATTAGAGCAGATATATAACAAGGATAAGTTGAGAATTAAAAATAAAAATTGTAAAAAAACACAATGTTTTTTTAAAACTAGAGCGGTTACTTAGTTTGATGTAATCATAGTTCCAACATTTCTTTTCTACATTTTCCTTTATCACTAAACCGAATTAAATTTAATTTATATATACTGTATCCTTATATTATAAAATGATCTTACTTACGTTAATGTATCATCCACAAATTTTAACTTCTATTAATCACATTTGTTCCTTTAAATTAACTCTTCAGTTCTGGGCATAAAACTATCACACTTAAACCAGTATTATCATTTTCATATCTATATTACATGCTATTTTATATTAAAACCCCGGTAGACTGCGTATTATATTCATTTTAGAGTGGTTGGTAATAGTGTGCATGTATAAACTCCTCTTATCAAGTGAGTCAGTGTGATAAGTCCTAAGAGTTTAATTGTGTATTAACACAAAAAGAAAATTGTAAAATAAAATAAAATGGAACTTTTATGATAATTATTCTATCGTTTAAAAAAATTGACAATAGTGGGCCACGGGATTCAAAATTGTGAATTTAGTGGTCCGTGAGATCAGAGAGGTTGGCGACCGCTGTTCTTGCCAACGTAAAGCCTTGCGCTCTTATCAAATCGGTTTCGTTTACATCAATTATAAATATTTTTATTCGATTAACCTATTAACTTCATTCTTGATAAGTTTGTATATACTCGTAGAAGTCGTTCTAACATCGTTAAGTTTTTTTTATACTGGACTACTCGGGAACAACGACGATGATTTTCCATTGTGTTCAAATTGTTCTTTCTCGTAAATTCTCGCAACTGGGACAGTTTATTGCAGGACATCCTTTTATTTTCTTGTTAATGCCAATCTTAATAACAGCCATATTAGCTACAGGAGTTTTAAGGATTAAAGAGATTAGAGATGTCGATTATCTATTTACTGCTACTAACGAGAGAGCCATTAGGGACAAAAAAAGTATAGAGAAAATCTTCACTCTGAATACTTCAGAATTCACTGATCCAGCCAGAATGTTAAAAATGGATAATTTAATTATTATTACTCCAAAAAGAAGAAAATATATCTTTGAGGAAGATATGATAAAGGAGATTGAATTATTGGATAAAATGGTAAAGAACATCACGGTAAGTTTCCGTGGTAAAATATTGAGATATTCGGATTTATGTGCCATAAGTAAAGGAAAATGTTTCGAAAATACTCCTATTCGATTAGTACCATATTTCGATGAAATTATTAACGGAAAATACAAATTAAAATATCCTGCTTACGTACATCCATTAACTTATTCCTATGAGGAATACGTATTCTGTTTTGGAGGAACACTTTTGGATCACAAAGGATATATTAAAAATGCAGAAGCTGTGAGACTTATTTACGTTCTGAATACTGATAGAAATGAGATGACTGAGGCTCGTCACAAATGGCAAGAAAAGTTTAACAAATTATTAAAATCTTCGAAATTTCAAAACATAACTATTAACTTTTTAACTTCACAAAACATATATAATGATTTAAAAGATTTAACAGATCAACTCGTCCCTAAAACACCACTAGCTTTGTCAATAGTAGTGTTGTTTGCTATTATCACTTGTATGACCAACGATTGGATTCGTAGCAAACCCTGGCTTGGACCTTCCGCCTGTGTTTCTGCAATTTTAGCCATTGTGAGTGGATTCGGATTGGCATTTTATATTGGAATTCCTTATGTGGACATAACTTATTTATTGGCATTTATCGTAATGGGTAAGTTATTTTTATACATATTTATAAAACGATATGATTATTGAACAGATAGCTACCATGAATTACCTAGTAACTGTGTGCGCTCATTTTATTCATACTGGCCGATACAAAGTTCGGCTCAAAGTACAGTTATGTAAACTGCGCACATACACAGGAACTACTGAAAACGTTTTCTATTTTCTATGTTTTGCATATTACAATACCTATTTCAAATTATTGAGTTTTGATTTTCACAATTTTTTAATTATTTAATACTTAACCTATGCCTTTTTTATTCCTTAACCTTTGCAACTTTATATTTAATTGTTTTGATATTATTGATAAAGTTTAGAACGTTCTATTAAGAATTTCGGGACACTGTCTATCGTAGTTTTTAATTAACTTTATTTGGAAAAGACTTTTTCTAATAGTTACATTTTAGGAAGGATAACAATGCTGTTATAATAATTACAAAAAGCAATTTTTAAATTAGTTTTTTGAATTACTTATAATATATTTTATGGTAAATTATAATTAATAAACTTACAGTAATAAAGTCTTTTAAATCAGAAAACCCGAAAAACTCCCACACAAGCCCTTTTGGCCAGGCAAGTATTCACTCGATTACTGATGAATCAATTGGGAAATTTAATAAATCTACCGATGTTTTAAAATCTATATTTTTACTTTAGCATATTGATAGATTTGAAATGTGTTGAATTAATTAAAAACTCATTTTATTTCTTTATTAGGCACAGAAATAGACGATGCATTTCTACAAATAGCAGCTTGGAGAAGGACAAATCCAATGGATTGCATAGGAAAAAGGCTTGGGGAAGCCTATTCCGAAACGGCTGTTTCTATCACAATAACGTCTCTAACAAGCATCATCTCTTTCTGCATTGGAATGGCTTCACCTTTTCCAGTTATTCGTATATTTTGCGCATACGCTGCAATAACGATCTATTTTGCTTATCTCTATCAGATTACTTTCTTCGGTAGTTGTATGGCATTGAGTGGATTTACTGAAAAGAATGGAATGAATTCTCTAATATTTTGTCACGTCCAAGGTAAAATTAAATTAAAATTCAATAAAATTAATAATTTTAAAATGAAATATTCATTTTTTTAAAAAAAATACTCTCTCTGTAGATAAAGAAAAGAGAAAATTGCCGAATACAAATATCCACGAAGACTTCATACTAGCAAAATTTCGTGATGTTATTGGATCTCTACTTACTAACAGAATATATAAATTCGTGATATTATCAATATTTATAATTAACGTTTCTATCGCTGTTTGGGCACTAAAATATATAAAAATAGGAAACGAACTTTCTGATGCATTTTCTGATAATTCACAAACTGGAAAGTTTACAAAAATACTATACAAACATTTCCACGCTTACATCTACCCAGTAAATGTTATAATTGATACACCACTCGATTACAATAACTTTGAAACTAGAAAAGCCATTAATGACACCTTAAACATATTAGAAAGGCATGAAAATATAGCCAAATATGACCATAGAATATCCTGGTTGAAATATTATAGTAAATTTTCTAATACTCCATTTGGAAAATTTGTATTTAGAGGTTTTGATATGACTAACAAACAAGATTTCATAGATGCACTAAGAAAAGTATTTCTCAGATTACCTCAGGCAACACCTTTCAAAACAGATATTGTTTTCAATGAAAATCATACAGAAATCATAAGTTCAAGAATTATTTCGGGTTTAGTAAATATTTCATCTGGAGAACAGGAGGCCAACGTTATCCAAAGTATTTATAAGATCGTTGATGAATTGCCTATTCCTATCAAAGTTTATGGTATGAACTTCCATTTAATAGAACAAGCCTTTCTTATTAAGAAAGTTATGTTTCAAGTGGGATTAATTACATCGGCTTTGATCTTTCTTATCTTCTTCATATTTATACCAGATATATTTAGTGTAATCTGTGTTGCAATTGTTATTTTTTTTACTATTTTAGAAACCATTTCTTACATGAGTTTATGGGGTGCAAAAATAGATTTAATTTCGTTAATGACTTTCATACTAACTGTAGGATTTTCTATAAATTATCCAACACATATATCGTATTCATTTATAGTTAGAAAAGATTTAAATTCGGAAGAAAGAATTAAAAAATGTCTATACGAGGTTGGTTTACCGATATTCCAAGGCGTATTTACTACCATTTTAAGTATTGTAGTGTTTGCATTTCGACCTTTCTATTTAACTATAACTATTTTTAAAATTTTATTTCTTTTAACTATTCTGACAGGATTTCATTCGATGTTTGTAATTCCTATTCTTCTTAGTTTGCTCGAAAATTGCGGAAATGTTTTCAAAATAAAAAAGAAAATGCAATTGAAAGGTACATGAAGCTTTCTATATATATATATATATTTTAATAGTTTATACATGCAAATATATTCTATATCTTGTAATTCTGTATGTCATTAATGTATATATATATAAATTAAAATTACAGTACTGTAGAAGTTCGCTAATCCGGTAACTAGTAAACGTTGTCGTGATGCCGGATTATTATCGGACAATAGGGATTATAAAGTGCCGAATTAACAAATTTCTATTGTTTTTAGAATGTATTTTATAAGCTATAAAAATTTTAATAAACTCGAATAGCCTATTATTATTTTTTCGAACCTTATTCTATTCAGAAATAGAAATCTATTGTGATCGTAATTGTAAATTATAAATATTTCTAAATACACTATTGTAAAATTATTGAGTAACTTAATTTTTTTGTATATTATATGAAAAGAAGACATCATTTATGAAAAATAGTAGCGTGTACTATTATTAATAATTAAGATCTTTGAATTAATAATCTAAATTAATAAAATTTTCTGTATTAATCAATGTAAAAAGCATATAAAGATTTTTACATAGATGTTACTCATATTTGTATGTAATAAGTTTAAATTATAATAATACTGATGAATCAATTGGGAAATTTAATAAATCTACCGATGTTTTAAAATCTATATTTTTACTTTAGCATATTGATAGATTTGAAATGTGTTGAATTAATTAAAAACTCATTTTATTTCTTTATTAGGCACAGAAATAGACGATGCATTTCTACAAATAGCAGCTTGGAGAAGGACAAATCCAATGGATTGCATAGGAAAAAGGCTTGGGGAAGCCTATTCCGAAACGGCTGTTTCTATCACAATAACGTCTCTAACAAGCATCATCTCTTTCTGCATTGGAATGGCTTCACCTTTTCCAGTTATTCGTATATTTTGCGCATACGCTGCAATAACGATCTATTTTGCTTATCTCTATCAGATTACTTTCTTCGGTAGTTGTATGGCATTGAGTGGATTTACTGAAAAGAATGGAATGAATTCTCTAATATTTTGTCACGTCCAAGGTAAAATTAAATTAAAATTCAATAAAATTAATAATTTTAAAATGAAATATTCATTTTTTTAAAAAAAATACTCTCTCTGTAGATAAAGAAAAGAGAAAATTGCCGAATACAAATATCCACGAAGACTTCATACTAGCAAAATTTCGTGATGTTATTGGATCTCTACTTACTAACAGAATATATAAATTCGTGATATTATCAATATTTATAATTAACGTTTCTATCGCTGTTTGGGCACTAAAATATATAAAAATAGGAAACGAACTTTCTGATGCATTTTCTGATAATTCACAAACTGGAAAGTTTACAAAAATACTATACAAACATTTCCACGCTTACATCTACCCAGTAAATGTTATAATTGATACACCACTCGATTACAATAACTTTGAAACTAGAAAAGCCATTAATGACACCTTAAACATATTAGAAAGGCATGNGAGGCTCTACTGTAGTCTATATTCTGATAAAACGAAGCGAGGCAATCGCGGCGCCACTAACTTCTGAATCGACAGTCTTGTCGTTGATCAGTCGGGCCATCGACTTTCTTTAACATAGAAAGTTGACCTGTCTTTCTCTAATCTGTGATCGGCTCTTGCCGAGTAGCTTGTTCGGCAATCGAGTTATCGTACGACAACCGGGGCAAATGCGAGTTTAAAATTTTGTTCGTGAACCGAATTGTTCGAAACCCGAGGTTTGAACATACAGTACATTCAAGAAAAATATCGAAATCTTTAAGAAAAATGCAAAGTTAAAAACATTTTCGAAAAATAAAATTGCGCCGAGTGCGTCCCCTTCTGGCAAAACTATCAAAAAAAAAAAATAAAAATCAAAGATATTTATTTTTTGCCAGAAGGGGGCGTACTGATTACAACAAGTTGACGAATGTCACGTTGAACGTCAGTAGGGAAATGTTTTCTATTTCCGATCTTATTTTGAGTGGGTAAGACATTAAACAAATAAAAGTTTACGATTAAACTATACGTAATCGTTCCACTTGCAAATATCACCGCTTTAATGTAATTTTATAATTTTTAGAACATTGCTCTTGAATGCTGCTGCTGTACTGAATTTTAAATTGTAAGTAATTTTTAATTATTATTGATATAAATATATAATATTAAAATTATTTTATTGTGCTAGAAAGAAAAAACGAGATGTCGTGGATTTTAGTGATCAGCTGACAGAACCCGAAATTGGTAAATAAATTTAAACTGTACTGTTGTATAGAAAATGGTTATTTTTTTTTTTTCATGATGCATATTATATTCCTTTCTAACTAAGTAAAGTAAGTAAATGATGCTTTATTTACTCACTTTGGTAAGCTTCAAATTCTGAATGTGATGGATTTGCCTTCACCAGAGTTACAGATCCCCCATGTACGAGCAAAAAAGTCAATAAAACCATACCCGTATGTGTGACTCTTCTCGAGATATTCTCCTCCAAAGGTCGGTTTTTACCACGAACTGGTATACTGCCTATTCTCTGTGCTGCGTTTCGGTCGAGGCAAGTTGTAGCTCGTCTTGACCGATGCTCCACGTGTAGTATGCTTTAGTAAGGGAAAACGAGTACTTGTTTTCCCTTACAAAACTATACACAATCAAGTACTCCAAGAACAGTTAAGTAGACTATTCAAAGCTGGCATAATCATGTGGGCTAAACAGTTAAATGTCTTAGCAAAGTGATACGACTCCCAATTGTGTGAAACCCGGAAGTAGGCTGTATCTCGTATAGAGATATGGTTCATTTGACTTTTTTGCTCCAATGGGTATGATCTACAGCTTTAAGATAAGGTCGCAACTGTCTCATCCATAGGTGTAATTGTACCCTTACTTTTTACAAATCGTATTTCTGTCCACATAACGGCATACTTTCATAGATGGAGTAAAATTGATACCATATTCTGCAAAGTATTCAAAATAAAGTCACAATTTAAAAACAAACTTTTACAGTATCGGAAGCCTTTTCTATTTTTAATAATGATTAACAAAGTATGTTACAGAATAATTACAACAAACTGTTATGCTTTTATATGTGAGATATGCTCTTATAAGCAATGAGAAAAAAAATTCTTATTCAAACAGCTTGTTCTTATTTGTATGGAGATCAGTAGTTTATACTTTTGTATTTCTCTCTTAACAACAATAAAGCTTATATGTTTCTATGATTTTGTATTTACCAGTACAAAACTGCAAAACTATATATTGAGTAAGATATGATGTTTTCAATAAGATAATTTGAGGATAATCCAGGTATTATAGTCCTATTTTTATAAGATTTTCAGAGGAAAAAAATAACAAACAAATACTATTGAAAAAGGTCTAACCGAAAGAACTATTACATTATTACTTATAGAAATTTGTATCTATCAAAAATAGCTAATAAATTATAAATTTTTCATATTTTAACAATTATTACAATCTATATATATAAAATTGCTTTTCCTGACTGACTGAATGACTCACTCACTGATTCATCATTGCCCAGAGCAAACCGCTGAACCTAAAGAGGTGAATTTGGTACACAGTTAGGGTATGTCATGAAAACGCACACTAAGAAGGAATTTTTCAAAATTCCTCCGCGGGGAGAGAAGATTAAGGCTTAACCAGAAGAACAGCTTCTACTGTACTATTTTAGATGCGATTTTTTTTGTTTTTATCTCCGTTGTAGTAGGGTATGCCATGGCAATGCACACTAAGAAGGGATTTTTTGAAATTTCCCCTCGGGGGAGGGAGAGGATTTAGTCTTCATCGAGTACTTAGGTGTATTAAATTAATAACATTTCAGACATTGTTATAAATATTTTTATCTATTTTGATTTTAAAAATGTTTGAACTGTTTTAAATTTGAATTTGTTATTGCATATTGGTTCGATTATAAAACAATTGTAAATGTTTCAGAAAATTGATCAAATTGAAAATAGTTCGTTTGATTCTCGGCAATTCTCATCATTCTCAGTGGCAGGTGTTATATAACAATTACTATGGTTGTTGAAATACTGAATATAAATGGGGTTTGCTTGCAAAATCCTTGCGGGCGAAGTCGCGGGTAACAGCTACTGTTACATAAATGTGATATGACTAAATGAAATTCAGAAATAATAATTACATAATAAATCCCCATTTTGGAGTTGGGATCAATATTATTATTGAGATTTATGGCATAATGAATATTTGAGTTTTACTACCTAGATTGTAATGCTGTTATTTGCTAAGACAACGTGTGGTTTGTTTATAGTAGAATCTGTTTATTCTAATCATTGTCAGTTATCGGTCAATTAATGTTATCAGAATTAGCTTGTCTCAAAATATATAAGTTGAAATATATATAAAAGAACAGTTATAGTAATCAGTGATTCATTTATACATTATCTTACGGTTAATAATCATCTTTACTAACTTTCATACTGTAAGATTCATGTGGTTGGTAACATGCAATCACTAACTGTAGTCTTAAACCAGTGTTTTAAATGTCAAATGTTCGTCATTTTAAGTGTTTAACCATGTTTTGTTATTGTATTTCAGTGCAATAGTTTAAATCTCTGGCATTTCTTGTTTCAGTTAATAATATAGTATTGCAATAAAACAGGTAAACAACACTGGATGAATTAGTATTAATTAAAAATCAATCAATTCCAGACCAGTTTATTATAGAACTTGCATATAGGTAACTGATTGATAAATAGTATTATTAGTATGTTTTCTTCTTCAAGTTGATGATGATATATTTATTGAGTTTAAGCTGAGCAATAACGATAAAACAAGATTGATTAAGCATTAGAGTAAGTATGGCTGAAGGGAAAGTGATGAATGATGGGTAGATACGAGAGAGACAAGGATAATCTTTTTTATATTGGAAAAATTGAAATTTGTTTTTGCTTGAAAATGGGATAGAACTTATTGAAGTTTTTGAAATCTTCAAATAGTATGTTAGCTGAATAACTACATTGATTAAGAATGACAATGATACTAGAGTACCAATTAGGGTACTCATTTTTAATGTTGGAAGAGGAAGTTTTTAAGAATAAATTGTATCATACAAGATTTTAATTGGCTCCTCTATAAAGTAAATCATCAATGTATATATTTTTAAACTGTTTTAGAATGTTTTCTTAATGTCAGAGTTCATGATATTAGAATTTCTACTAACTGTAGTTATATTTCCTACTCCTCTTAATGTTATAAATTGGTTATCATCATCAGTGTAACCAGTCAAGTCTCAAAGTGATTACAATGAACAGATGATATATATAATTGTGTAATGTACAAGAAACTGTGCAAAAATGACTGGGCAGATTTTTACAGTTGATGGTTTGATGGAAAGATCCTAATCCCAGGATGGTGAAGAAAAGTAAAGTAATTTTGAAATTTGTCAAAGAAATCTTTGAAAATCTGTTTGTTTTATTTTTAGCATTAATTTCTTAACTGAACACTTGTTAGTGCTGTAGCATAAATTTGTTTTTTTTTTTTTTATTTTTAGCAGGGGACAAAAATGAACTTAACCAAAAGTATGAGTAGAATAAATAGAAGCATGTTTCAGTTGTATCAACCATAGAAGTAGTAGTAAAATATTATCTGGCAGTGTGGTAGAGTTGAAGAGAACTGCCGGTTTTTGACAATTAGTTCATTCAGAGTTTGATTTACAAAATTTTTTATACAGAATTTAAGATTAAGGCCTTGATACATATACAAAGAATGTTGTTTATACAGAGATACTATTATTATTAAAAAAGATTTCTATATCAAAATAAAAATCTCCATATCTTACAGAGAAGAAAGATGATACATTATTACAATTTTAATAAGAGCAAAAGTTATTGTGACATTGTCATAATGCTGAGCTGCAATTTTTAATCATATTCTAATTTATTTAATTTAAAATATGTTCTTGATCTCAAATTAGTAGTGTCTTGACCCTGTACATAATAATTTTCTTGATAGCAACAGAGTCATGCTGGTCATCTATGTAACTCTGTTCAGGGGAAAGGTTTTGAATTGAGATCACATGATTTCTGATCTAAACTGGAAGTTAGTATATAGTTAATTAGGGCCTCTTGTCCCTAAGCTTCCATATCTGGTCTTGACTTTCATCTATCTAACACCATTTTCAAAATTAATGAAGGACAGATTGATGAAAGTGGAAATTTATAGATCTACAAATTTTTCAAATTGCAGCCCAATAATAATGTTTACTTTAACTGCCTACCTCTAGTCAAATTATTTAATTTCTAATATTTAATTATAGACCTTGGACCTTTACATAGTCCAAGAATTTGGCATATTGTTTGGTGTGTTTATTATGTAGCAGTCTATGGTTGTTGATGTTTATAAGTAATATGTCTGAACTGAACACTAGTTTGGAAAAATGTATGATCACACGCAACACTAAGATGCTAGTGGAAAGAATGCTAAACACAGACTGATCTAACATGCGCACAATCCAGGATTTCTCCTCTTTGTCACTCATGATCTTATGCGAGTCATTTTTTTTACAATTTGTTTTGATCATTATGCGAATTACTCATTATGAGAGGTGCTCATTAAGTGAGATTCCACTGTATATAATCAGCAAAAATTAATATGTAAAATAATCTTTTTTTAAGTAGATAATCAACATGAAAATTGTTCAGTTTTCATTATTAATACATATTTTTCAGTTATATTTTTAAATTGTCTTTGTCTCAATATAAAAGAAAATTGCTGTTTACAATAATAGTTTTCTATGTATACAGTAAGCATCAAAATCCTCCCAAAGAATGCAGGAGACTATTTTAAAGAACTGAAAATGTTACAAAGCAAATTTAGTACGAAAATCTGTATATTTATTTGCATACTTATATGCTTACATATATAATTATAATGTAATTATCTAAACAACATAGTTATTTTATTAATAATAACAACACAAAGAACATATGCATTGGGAGGATTTTGATGCAGAAAAAAATCTATATCATATATGTGGAAAAAGTATAATTTGATAATCAGTACAGTCTCCTTTGGTCTTTAAAACCTTCCTAATGCAATCAAGCATAGAATTAATAATCCTGCAATTGTGCAATGTTATTTTTTTCCATTCATCCTGTACACATTCCCATAATTGGTGGATTCTTTCAGGCAGAGCTGCATAGTCAGACAAGCAACATTTAAGGGACCAAATATGTTCAATCGGGTTGAGACCACATGATTGAGGCAGCCACTCAAGCAAGATGATAATCAATCTTGAAGCCATGATATTGCCCTCCTGGATGTATGTTTTGGATCATTATCTTGCTGATAAATGAAAGAGTTCCTATCAATGTGATTGTAATCAACAGATTGTAACAAATAATTGTCAAGTATCTCGGTGTAAATAATGCTATTCATTCTATTAGGTTTAGAACATAGTATTCAAGGCCCAAAATAGGTAATAAAGCCCCAGATCATAAGACTACCACCACCAAATTTCAATGTTGTTTGTACTTCTCATTCATTTATAGACTTCATTGATGTAGTCCATATCCATTTTTGCCCATCTGATCCAGCTCTATTAATTTTGGATTCATCTGACCATACAATTCTCTTCCAGTCTTCATAGTGTTTGACAAAATTAAGAAGTTTCTGTTTATGTAATTTGGTAAGTTTAGGCTTCTTGGGCTTAACTCTTGCTTTCAAATTGTTATGTGCAGGCATGTGCAAATAGTTGAAGTACTCTGACTTCTATTCCTAAGCCATGTTTCAATTCCCTCTTTACTTGTGATGATGTATTGCAACGTCCATTCATTATCAATCATATGCAGTGTCTTTCTGTTTTGGCATTCAATGTTTTCTTCCTGCCAGCTCTTAAATTTTCTTGATACGGTAGCTCACTATTTTTAATTCCGGGTACATTTAAATGCCCAACACCAACTTCTAATGCTGTTTTCTCAGCACAGGAACTTTTCTTCAGTAGGTGTCCACAGTACAGAGTTTCTTCTCACTGGAAAGCTTCTTCATGATGACGCATATCAATCAGCAACTTATTTATACACTAATATCTCATTAATATGCATGAAATTACATTGATGTTATAATAAATTAATTTATATAAACAAATTACACACCATAGATATTTTAAAAATATGAAAATTGTTTTAATTTTTTGATATTATGTAAATATTGTAATAATCTTACAGCTGATTTTTTTCCTTTTGCATGTCGAACAGTTTTTGTTATTTTCCTATAGTAAGTATGAACTTTGGGAGGATTCGACACTTACATATGTAACTATTCTTGTATACAATTTTCTTTTATTTTATATTAAAACATAACTTTTTTCAAAAATTATTCAAACAATTTTACATCAATTTAAGTCTAAATTGTTTTTATTATTTGCTATATCTACATATTATATAACTATTTTATTTTAAAAAATCATCAGGTTTATCCACTTTAAATTATTGTAACATTTCAGACAGAAAATTTACTGAAAAAATATAATTTACATCCATCACAGCAGCAATCCATAACAATGTCGTTTTTGTTCATATGAGTGTATATGTACTGTATACTTAGCATACAGCAATGGATTGACATATGTTAACTATTTCGAATATAGTTGATATTTGGAATATATTAATTAGTTAATAATAATTATTATTATTATCACAAATTTTTTACTTTTGAAAGTTTGCTGTACTGAAAAATTTATTATAATTAAGTTATAATTTATTTCATAATTTTATTTTTTAAAGCTGCTCATTCTGAGACTACAGGTAAGAATATATATTTTAGATATAAAAATATCATATACCTTACACAGAGAAGCAATTTAAAATTTGGACACTCTATTTAAAATTAAAGAAAGATTTACAGCTGAATAGACTTTTCAATATATATTTATTATTGCCTGGACATCGGACAGAAAGTGCAAAAGTTACCCCAGAAGCCTGGACAAAGCCCAGGCTTCTGGGGTAACTTTTGCACTTTCTGTCCGATTTAAAAAAATTCCCACATTAGATTTTGATGATTTTGGTGTCAAAATGTTCATTAGAACCCTGTCATGTGCGTAAATTATTTTTTGGAAAATATAATTAACTCTGAGAAAAGATATATTCAAAAAACAAAAGTGTCGACTTTTGCCTCTGACGCTTAATAACAAAAAAGTATTTCAATATTTTTTGGTGCTATTTTTGGAATATAAAGCCAGACAGTTGCTTCATATTTTTGCAGAGTTTGGTGAATTTCAGTTGAACTATGGAAAAGTTATCTGAGTTCAAAGAAAAAGGAAACAGATTTACGCCCCTCATCCCCACTAGACAGCATCATGTTATCTAACTCTTCAATTTCTTCTGCTGTAACTGCATGACCAGGCCTGTACCAATTTAAAGGAAATGTCATTTCCTTTCATCAACTTGTCAGCAGTTACGTTCAACTCCCTCTCATCCCATTGGAAATTTTCAACCTTTCTGTAACTGTTTCAAATATATGTTTTTTTAGTCATGTCAAGCAACTCACTGATATTATGTTTTAGACACAGTTCCCTCAGTTAAGACTGGACAAAATCACAAATGCAGCTGTTTTTAATGAGTGATTCTAATTTATCGAATACTTTTCCCACTTAAATGCGAACCAATTTTATTTTATCATCCCTTTATTTCTTATTTTTTAGTTTACTTTATTTATTTACTTTAGTTTAGTTTAATTTAATTTCTTTATTACACTCTTCTTTTTTATCTGTACTTTTCATCATATTTTTTTCTTTTCTCAACTATAAATCACTTATTTTTCATTTGTGACATACTAGTGCTCAAACTGCTCACCCAGGCTAACTACATCAATAAACATACTTTCAAATTTTTCAATGTGATCTATTTAGTAGATTAATGTAGTCACTCTTATGATATATCTGTTCTTTGAAATTCATGTCTACTTTGTCACTGTTTTGATACATACCTATTGTAATATATTGTCTATTATAATACACAATATAAATTATAATGTATGTACTGTTTATAATTTTTAGTAGCTATCTTTAAATAATTCTTTATCACACTACAATGAAAATTTAAAATTGGAGTGTTTTTGATTCCATACATTAGTTGAAATGCATTCGATCAATGAGTTAATTATATATTTACAATTAAGCTATCATTTAGTGAAACATTTACTTTTCTGTCTACCATTAATTTAGTCAGAAATAATAATAGAAACTATATTGAAAAATTTCATAGCTTTCAGTGTTACAAAAAAACTGAAAATATAGAATGATCAAGTAATTTGTTTAATTATATTTCATTTACAAACACAGTACATAAGCAAATATCGTATAGTAGATTTTTAATATTTTATCATTTCATGTATTTCAGATGGGAGTTTAACAAAGAAACATTTGTAATCACAGATTTTATATGCTAAGTTTTTAAGTTTTAGGTTGAATAATAAAATTTTATGTCTTTCTGCAATAATTATGAAATATTGAGGAACTATCTACTGTATCTAGTCAATTTTTTATTGTTTGGATAGTTCTCCCCACAATTTTTATGTTGATAATTTGTTTAAAATATTTTTTCTTAGTATTGGTATTGTATAATTTGTATTTTATTTATGTATATTCTGTTTTTTTTCCTCTGTATTAATTCATGTATTGTAATATTACTGTAGTTTGTATTCCCCACATCATGGGTTTTCCCAGTATGTCTAAATAATTAAAAATAATAATAATAATTATGAAATATTACTTTTAAGGATAAACTTTTAATAGTAGAGTGAAAATTGAAAACATTTGATTGATAAAAAATAAGTAATATGTAAAATGTGAATCTAATAATCTTTTAAGAAACAATAAAATGTGTTAATTAGAAAATGTAATTCATATTCATAATTCATATCCATCCTCACTAGTAAACATTTACATCATAATTATTATAACAATAATAATTAAGTATTCACTAGTAAAAAATAGTAATAATTCTTTAGAAATTTAATAAATATTTTTGAATAATTCATGTATTTCAAAATGTTAAAAAATAATTAAAAGCAAAAATATTTCTTTAATTTTTCTGTAATTATGACCTAATTTCACTATTGGATCATACTTACATGCATTACTTAAATTTTGTGCAAAATCATTGATAATTTTTATTCATACAACTCAGATTCTAAACTTCAAATAGTTATAGTATGATTCTAATAAGGCTATTTATTCATACAAAATAAAATGTTGAATTACCTGATTTAATAAGCTGAAATAATTACAATTAAAACTGTAAATCAAACTTTAATTAAGATATTGATTTTTATATTTTCAGGTGATAAAGTTCGAGAATTTCTTCAGTCTTTGCAATATTTTAGAGTATTTATTGCTATGTGGAATATATTTGTTATGTTTTTAATGATTGTGTAAGTTTCATTTTTAAATCTATATTTTATTTTTTAAATTAATTTTTCTCCATAATTTTTTAAACTCCATTTCAGGTTTTTTGGTTCATAATATTTTAAGAAACTATGCTTAAAGAACAAAGAGTAATGTATATTTTGGCATTATTAATTGAATCTTCTTCATTTTTTTGTGAATAACTTTTATACTTTATGTAATTTAAATTTTGTTGTTGAATAAAATTAGTAATTAATTAATTTCTGGTGGTAGCAAAAGTCTTTTTTATTCCATCACACCATACAAAAACAGAATTATGACCAGAATTTGTAACAATCAAAAAATAGTTTAAAAATAAACAAGAAAATCCTTCAATAATATTTTAACTTAAATGTACACAGTAATCAATTTAAGTAGAAAAATCTTTTATCCAAAAATTAAATCTATCATTTTGTAATGAGCTGCTAGTTAAGACTCAAAACTATTCAAATTTTATTGTAACACAAAACCCAAATAATAATGTCAATTTATGAGTATATCAAATTATAAATAAGATTTATCTGGTTGAAATAACTTTCTTTTCTTACTGAGTGATTTTGCATTTCCCTTATTTTCCATAGTATTTTTTGTAGGATTTCCATTTGATACTATTCCATTATTTAAGATTTTTGCTATGCTTTTTATATTTATGCTCTTGCTTTCGCTTGATGTATTTTGTTTAAGTTCATCTGTCAAATTTGAATTGCATATTTTAGTGGAAGTTTGATTTTTCAGTTTATTAAGTTCTTCATTTAACATGGATATGGTTGTTTCATATTTCTGTTTCATCTGTTGTTGTTTCTGTCAGATATTTTATAAATAATCATATATACATAAGAAAATTTACTGATTATAGATTAATAAACTATTTAAATTATTTCATACTATGAAAAATTTATCAAGAATGAATCATTTTCATTTAGATGTTTTAAAATAAATAAAATTCCCATGTTTGTTTTATTTTCAAAACTTGAAACTTTTGTAACTATCAATAAACAAAATAAGTTATGTATTATTACTATTACTTATGTACTATTAATATTTAATTCTCTGCATAATTTTTGCACATTGGCTATGTATACCAGTATATCAAAAAGTAATCTGAATTCATTTGCTTGTGAATGATAATATATAAATAATAATATTATTTAAAGAAATATTTGAAGGATACAGAAGTTGTATTTTTATCTGGATTGTCATAAAATTTCAATATATATATAGAAATTTTATATATCAAATATTATAAAATTTTTACTAAACTGATAAAATTATCTGTATGAAAATATCTAAAATGTGTGTAAAAATTCTGACTTAGAGCCAGATGACCAAAGTGGTTAAGGCATCAACCTACTTCCCTGTGAATCAAATCTTAGTAGTTAAAAACTTCAGGAATTTTTTCATAGGTGGTCTCTTCCAGATATGTCACCAGTTGGTTAGGCTTCATGCTTTACCACTTGACTGAACCCATAAGGCAGAAAGAGCCAAAAATTTAATAATTAAATTTTTCAGTAATACACTTCTTGCCTAGTGTTGGGTTAAATTTATAAGCACTATATTGGCTTTTCTTACAACAAATAAAAGCTGATATAGTGCTTATAAATGTAATTAAATTTCTTTTTCAATCACAATTACAAAACTATAATAACTTTAAAATAACTTTCAAACTATAATAATTTAATGCTTTTAAAATATTTAGATCATTTCTCCAGATAAAAATACTGGCAATTTATAAAATTTATGGTTATTATTATTAACTTATAATTATTCATAATTTTAAACTTTATTTTTGGCTTTTGTAAGATTATCATAAGCACCTCTTATTTGAAACCCAAATGCTTAATGAATGTTTAATTATAAAAAATTCAGTAAGCATCCTAAGATCTCAATATTAACAATTTTATAAGTTACTCATTCTGATTCTTCATCAGAGTGATATATATTTAAATTAGAAAAAAAATACTTAATTTCAAGCAAAATGATTAAATAATTTTAACAGTAAAAACATATAATTTATTTAATTTTGTTTTAAATACACAAACAGAAGCTTAATCTATAGCTAATTATTAATTTTATCTTTTAGTTTCTCAGCCAATTTACTTAATTTTGCATTCATTATATATAAGAAAAAATAAATATTTATTCATTATAAGAAATAAGTTTGCTAACAAGAGCTACATAAAATCATACAGAAGTTTACAGCTCCCAAAAGCAAAAATAAAATTTTAAAAATTATGCATAAAACCGGAAATATTTAAATAATAATAAATTATGAAAAATTTTCATTAAAAATTTCTTAACTTTTAGTTTATTTGTAATTATTATTTATAATTTATATACATATAATATTTTTAAGTACTATATTTATCTAACTTACCTGTCTATAAATCTCTTGAATATTATTTGTTTCAGAATTAGTTAATTTAGTTGATTTTAATAACTGATCTTTCAGTTTTGTAATTTTGCCTTCATACTGTAAAATTATATATAATTGACTTAGAATACATACATTAATATTTCTAATTTTAATCTATTCATTGCAACTTCAGACTTTTGGAAGATGTAAAATTGATTTTCTGCTTACTCACTAAATAAAGTAGTAAAGACAATTTATTATTATTAAACAAGGAAAAGAAATGTACAAAAAATTTTGAATTAATTTTTAATAATTTCCTTGTTTCTCTAGACATTTCTCATACTGGTTTACAAGCTTTTTAAAACATTTAAATAGAACTGCCCAAACATAGCCTATTTCATAGCACTTGTATGTTTATTAACTTAAATACATAGAGTGGATGACAACAATTTTACTGATTCAAGAGAAAAATTCACATAAAAAGGCATTAAAGAACATTTTAAGAAACATTTTAATATCACTTGTATGTTTTTTTTAACTTTATAATATTTAATAATTTTTTTTCCTTTGTAAAAACATCTTGAATTTAATATACTTAACTTAAAACATTATACTTGTTTTTATATTTTTTTTATTTACAAATATAAATTATTTTAAATTGTAATGTTATATAAACTGATATGAAATATGAATTAAGCATAGTTATGGTCTATAAATCTGGATTCTGTTTAAAATCTAAATCAGAAATATTGATTTTACTGAATTTTTAAATAAAATTGAAAACATTTCCAAAATATTAGTGTAATTTACAAATTATAATTTAGATCTAACAGTTTATAATACATACTGACATATGTTTCTTACCTCAAGTTCTAATTTAGCAATNGGTTGACACGGAAGCTGCAGTGCCTCCAAATTAAGTCACGCAAACAATTGCATAATGGAGCGATCAGGTTCCGGATGGAGGGAGAGACAGCGCACCGGAAGTGACTTACGCAGAGACTAGATTAACATAACAACTGTTTAATTGGTAATGATAGGCAATACAGTAGACCCCTCCATAACATTGTTGATAATTCCATGTTGTATGAGTCACTTAGATTTCACAAATACGTGTGCCGGGCTGTGAATGGCTCACGTATTTGTAAAATCTAAGTGACTCGTACAACATGGAATTCATATAACATGGAATTATCAACAGTGCTATAGGGGGTCTACTGTACAGGACATATAATATATCGATTTGAATATGATAGAGTTTAGATATATCGGATATAATAGATATTAGATATATAATAGATGGGGTTAAAGTTGTTCCGTGGTTCTTGAGAGAGAGAGTTTACAGTAAATGCACGTGGCAATAAATACCTGGTATGTGGTTGATAGGTTGATGGATGATGACGTTACTCATCGATTTTAATCCCAACAAGGCACTTAATAAATCCGTTGACAATGAAAGTAATCCAAGACAGAATGTTCAATGTAATCCAACACTTGGGCACTCAATAAGTTCAGTTTTCGCGGACATGATGACTTTAGAACTGAAGACTTAGTTAGAGGGCTGGGTGATGACTATCTCCATTGGAGGAACGGCAGCGACCCTCCTAACTTTGTTGTTCTGTTCTATATTGAACAGATGAAATCGAGATATTAGGTTGAGAGGTGATGAGAAAGCGTCTTTGTCAGGCCTGAGAACTTAACAGAGGTTTTACTTCCAAATGTAAAAGTTGACAGTTATTTAACGAGATTATAGTTACGATGTGACGTTATAAAATAATAATGTAAACATACTGAAAGCTAGGATTCAGATCCCCACACTTGATAATTGCAACCAGATGTTCTGTTCTTTATAAATGCTTTTATATTTATAATATTCTTACTCTGACAGTGAAATGATAAGTGATTAGTGAAATTAGAAAGTCTCTTAACTCATAAATGTCACTAATATTTTTTTATCTTTTTCTTTTAAAAATTATATACATATATACAATTTTCTTTTAAAAAATAATATACATATAACAAAATAAAATTTTTAATTTTATTTTGTTATATGTATATTATTTACTTATTTAAAAAGAGCCTCAATTATGCATTAAAAGAGCCGCAGGTTGGCGACCCCTGCTCTAAAACATGCAGGCAAAGTGGAAAGAGTAACAAATTATGAATATTTAAATCATATTATGTATAATGATATATCTTTAAAAAAACATACTATTTTCTTCATTTTCTTCTTTTATATTTTTTATATCTGAATTGAAGTTTTCTGTTAATTCTTGTATTTGTTGATTGAATATCTTTTCATTTTCAATATGAAGCTATGAAATAAAATGAACAGTTTTAAAACTAAAAAGTAAAATTTTTTTATAAAAATGAAAATAAAGTTTTTTTAAACTAAATAATAATAATAAAAAGTCTTTCATTAATATTATTGAACAAGTATAATTCTTATTTATATATGATAAATTTTATTATTAAAATTATATTAAATCTTTGTAATATACTTTTTCAATTTTTTCTTTTTCAATATTCAGTGAAGATATTTCAGCTTTCATATTTTTATTCTCATCTAATAATAAAAAAGACATTATATGAATCATAAACTGTAACATATATATTTATGATAATTTAAATTTTTAGGTATTCTTTTTTTTTCATATTATTATTAACCCTTAACTAACATGATAATTTTTTTTAAGTAACATGGTGCAGTCTCACAGATAGCTTACTTTAATTTGTATTGAGGATTGCATCATTTATAATTAAAAGGACTTATTCAGTTTGAAAGATAAGAACTAGTAAACTTTTGTTGTTGATTATACAAGATTAAATTGAATTTTTTCAGAATTATTAATCTTTTTTCTTTTCTCATTAGTAATATTGATATAAAATTAATTTATTTTGTACAAATAATATATCTTAACTGTGTCTGCAGAGTCCGCACATTATTTTGCCACAGCTAAGACGTACAGATTGAAAAACAAACAATTATTTATTGTGAAATCGTCACAATGCCGGGCTGCAATTTTCAATCATATTTTTAATTTATTTAATTTAAAATGCGTAGGCGGTTTTTCAATCTCCAATGGCTCATAAAACAAAGACAAGTGTAAATAACAAAAGGAATTCATTACCAAAAATTAGGTACAAACATGGTTACTTTTTGACATAATCACCGTAAAGATTGAGAAATTTGTCATATCTGCAAACGAGCTTTACAATCCTATCTTTAGCTTTACAATCCTATCTCGAGTCACTGGAGAAGGAAAGAAGTGGAAGTCTTCACATATTAAAGGTGTGTGAAGACTTCCATCCAGCTTGGAACTTTAGCACACCCAGCATATAGCTTCAATTTAGCGCCAAGTGACTTCCACCTCTTTCCTGANTTATGACCTAATTTCACTATTGGATCATACTTACATGCATTACTTAAATTTTGTGCAAAATCATTGATAATTTTTATTCATACAACTCAGATTCTAAACTTCAAATAGTTATAGTATGATTCTAATAAGGCTATTTATTCATACAAAATAAAATGTTGAATTACCTGATTTAATAAGCTGAAATAATTACAATTAAAACTGTAAATCAAACTTTAATTAAGATATTGATTTTTATATTTTCAGGTGATAAAGTTCGAGAATTTCTTCAGTCTTTGCAATATTTTAGAGTATTTATTGCTATGTGGAATATATTTGTTATGTTATTAGAACCCTGTCATGTGCGTAAATTATTTTTTGGAAAATATAATTAACTCTGAGAAAAGATATATTCAAAAAACAAAAGTGTCGACTTTTGCCTCTGACGCTTAATAACAAAAAAGTATTTCAATATTTTTTGGTGCTATTTTTGGAATATAAAGCCAGACAGTTGCTTCATATTTTTGCAGAGTTTGGTGAATTTCAGTTGAACTATGGAAAAGTTATCTGAGTTCAAAGAAANTCTTACTCTGACAGTGAAATGATAAGTGATTAGTGAAATTAGAAAGTCTCTTAACTCATAAATGTCACTAATATTTTTTTATCTTTTTCTTTTAAAAATTATATACATATATACAATTTTCTTTTAAAAAATAATATACATATAACAAAATAAAATTTTTAATTTTATTTTGTTATATGTATATTATTTACTTATTTAAAAAGAGCCTCAATTATGCATTAAAAGAGCCGCAGGTTGGCGACCCCTGCTCTAAAACATGCAGGCAAAGTGGAAAGAGTAACAAATTATGAATATTTAAATCATATTATGTATAATGATATATCTTTAAAAAAACATACTATTTTCTTCATTTTCTTCTTTTATATTTTTTATATCTGAATTGAAGTTTTCTGTTAATTCTTGTATTTGTTGATTGAATATCTTTTCATTTTCAATATGAAGCTATGAAATAAAATGAACAGTTTTAAAACTAAAAAGTAAAATTTTTTTATAAAAATGAAAATAAAGTTTTTTTAAACTAAATAATAATAATAAAAAGTCTTTCATTAATATTATTGAACAAGTATAATTCTTATTTATATATGATAAATTTTATTATTAAAATTATATTAAATCTTTGTAATATACTTTTTCAATTTTTTCTTTTTCAATATTCAGTGAAGATATTTCAGCTTTCATATTTTTATTCTCATCTAATAATAAAAAAGACATTATATGAATCATAAACTGTAACATATATATTTATGATAATTTAAATTTTTAGGTATTCTTTTTTTTTCATATTATTATTAACCCTTAACTAACATGATAATTTTTTTTAAGTAACATGGTGCAGTCTCACAGATAGCTTACTTTAATTTGTATTGAGGATTGCATCATTTATAATTAAAAGGACTTATTCAGTTTGAAAGATAAGAACTAGTAAACTTTTGTTGTTTATTATACAAGATTAAATTGAATTTTTTCAGAATTATTAATCTTTTTTCTTTTCTCATTAGTAATATTGATATAAAATTAATTTATTTTGTACAAATAATATATCTTAACTGTGTCTGCAGAGTCCGCACATTATTTTGCCACAGCTAAGACGTACAGATTGAAAAACAAACAATTATTTATTGTGAAATCGTCACAATGCCGGGCTGCAATTTTCAATCATATTTTTAATTTATTTAATTTAAAATATATAGGCTCAANAATTTTTTAAACTCCATTTCAGGTTTTTTGGTTCATAATATTTTAAGAAACTATGCTTAAAGAACAAAGAGTAATGTATATTTTGGCATTATTAATTGAATCTTCTTCATTTTTTTGTGAATAACTTTTATACTTTATGTAATTTAAATTTTGTTGTTGAATAAAATTAGTAATTAATTAATTTCTGGTGGTAGCAAAAGTCTTTTTTATTCCATCACACCATACAAAAACAGAATTATGACCAGAATTTGTAACAATCAAAAAATAGTTTAAAAATAAACAAGAAAATCCTTCAATAATATTTTAACTTAAATGTACACAGTAATCAATTTAAGTAGAAAAATCTTTTATCCAAAAATTAAATCTATCATTTTGTAATGAGCTGCTAGTTAAGACTCAAAACTATTCAAATTTTATTGTAACACAAAACCCAAATAATAATGTCAATTTATGAGTATATCAAATTATAAATAAGATTTATCTGGTTGAAATAACTTTCTTTTCTTACTGAGTGATTTTGCATTTCCCTTATTTTCCATAGTATTTTTTGTAGGATTTCCATTTGATACTATTCCATTATTTAAGATTTTTGCTATGCTTTTTATATTTATGCTCTTGCTTTCGCTTGATGTATTTTGTTTAAGTTCATCTGTCAAATTTGAATTGCATATTTTAGTGGAAGTTTGATTTTTCAGTTTATTAAGTTCTTCATTTAACATGGATATGGTTGTTTCATATTTCTGTTTCATCTGTTGTTGTTTCTGTCAGATATTTTATAAATAATCATATATACATAAGAAAATTTACTGATTATAGATTAATAAACTATTTAAATTATTTCATACTATGAAAAATTTATCAAGAATGAATCATTTTCATTTAGATGTTTTAAAATAAATAAAATTCCCATGTTTGTTTTATTTTCAAAACTTGAAACTTTTGTAACTATCAATAAACAAAATAAGTTATGTATTATTACTATTACTTATGTACTATTAATATTTAATTCTCTGCATAATTTTTGCACATTGGCTATGTATACCAGTATATCAAAAAGTAATCTGAATTCATTTGCTTGTGAATGATAATATATAAATAATAATATTATTTAAAGAAATATTTGAAGGATACAGAAGTTGTATTTTTATCTGGATTGTCATAAAATTTCAATATATATATAGAAATTTTATATATCAAATATTATAAAATTTTTACTAAACTGATAAAATTATCTGTATGAAAATATCTAAAATGTGTGTAAAAATTCTGACTTAGAGCCAGATGACCAAAGTGGTTAAGGCATCAACCTACTTCCCTGTGAATCAAATCTTAGTAGTTAAAAACTTCAGGAATTTTTTCATAGGTGGTCTCTTCCAGATATGTCACCAGTTGGTTAGGCTTCATGCTTTACCACTTGACTGAACCCATAAGGCAGAAAGAGCCAAAAATTTAATAATTAAATTTTTCAGTAATACACTTCTTGCCTAGTGTTGGGTTAAATTTATAAGCACTATATTGGCTTTTCTTACAACAAATAAAAGCTGATATAGTGCTTATAAATGTAATTAAATTTCTTTTTCAATCACAATTACAAAACTATAATAACTTTAAAATAACTTTCAAACTATAATAATTTAATGCTTTTAAAATATTTAGATCATTTCTCCAGATAAAAATACTGGCAATTTATAAAATTTATGGTTATTATTATTAACTTATAATTATTCATAATTTTAAACTTTATTTTTGGCTTTTGTAAGATTATCATAAGCACCTCTTATTTGAAACCCAAATGCTTAATGAATGTTTAATTATAAAAAATTCAGTAAGCATCCTAAGATCTCAATATTAACAATTTTATAAGTTACTCATTCTGATTCTTCATCAGAGTGATATATATTTAAATTAGAAAAAAAATACTTAATTTCAAGCAAAATGATTAAATAATTTTAACAGTAAAAACATATAATTTATTTAATTTTGTTTTAAATACACAAACAGAAGCTTAATCTATAGCTAATTATTAATTTTATCTTTTAGTTTCTCAGCCAATTTACTTAATTTTGCATTCATTATATATAAGAAAAAATAAATATTTATTCATTATAAGAAATAAGTTTGCTAACAAGAGCTACATAAAATCATACAGAAGTTTACAGCTCCCAAAAGCAAAAATAAAATTTTAAAAATTATGCATAAAACCGGAAATATTTAAATAATAATAAATTATGAAAAATTTTCATTAAAAATTTCTTAACTTTTAGTTTATTTGTAATTATTATTTATAATTTATATACATATAATATTTTTAAGTACTATATTTATCTAACTTACCTGTCTATAAATCTCTTGAATATTATTTGTTTCAGAATTAGTTAATTTAGTTGATTTTAATAACTGATCTTTCAGTTTTGTAATTTTGCCTTCATACTGTAAAATTATATATAATTGACTTAGAATACATACATTAATATTTCTAATTTTAATCTATTCATTGCAACTTCAGACTTTTGGAAGATGTAAAATTGATTTTCTGCTTACTCACTAAATAAAGTAGTAAAGACAATTTATTATTATTAAACAAGGAAAAGAAATGTACAAAAAATTTTGAATTAATTTTTAATAATTTCCTTGTTTCTCTAGACATTTCTCATACTGGTTTACAAGCTTTTTAAAACATTTAAATAGAACTGCCCAAACATAGCCTATTTCATAGCACTTGTATGTTTATTAACTTAAATACATAGAGTGGATGACAACAATTTTACTGATTCAAGAGAAAAATTCACATAAAAAGGCATTAAAGAACATTTTAAGAAACATTTTAATATCACTTGTATGTTTTTTTTAACTTTATAATATTTAATAATTTTTTTTCCTTTGTAAAAACATCTTGAATTTAATATACTTAACTTAAAACATTATACTTGTTTTTATATTTTTTTTATTTACAAATATAAATTATTTTAAATTGTAATGTTATATAAACTGATATGAAATATGAATTAAGCATAGTTATGGTCTATAAATCTGGATTCTGTTTAAAATCTAAATCAGAAATATTGATTTTACTGAATTTTTAAATAAAATTGAAAACATTTCCAAAATATTAGTGTAATTTACAAATTATAATTTAGATCTAACAGTTTATAATACATACTGACATATGTTTCTTACCTCAAGTTCTAATTTAGCAATACTGTCTGTTTTTTCCTTAATTTGTTTGGTAAATTTTGTATTTATCGCATTTAACTCATCATCTCGTTCCTTTAATTTTTTTTCATACATTGAATGGATATTTTTTTCTGAAAATATAATTAATTTTCAAATGTTTATTGCATTTTTAATATAAAATGAATTTTCTAAAATATGCAAATATTTCTTCTGAACTGTTTTACATTTAACATTTGCAGATTAATTTAGAAATATTTGAATATTTATTAATCTAATTTTACATATTTTAAAATTTTGAATTTTAAATAACATAATACAGAACAATTTCATATTAATATATTAATATTGAAGTATTTAATTTTGTTAATTATATTAATAACACAAAATTAATATTTTATTCAAAACACTATCTACAATGAATATTATCATACTTTTAAATATGTCTAAATAAAATGAAGTAAATTTGTATTTCAAAATTACATATTAACTCATTTTAATATTTAACAAACTTTTAAATTTAATCTTCATAAATTTAAGAAACATTCTATTCAAATATTGATATATGTAAATTATTTAATTTGAAAATAACTATAATTATGAATATAAATTTAACATTCTCAACTATACTTGAATCTAAAACAAAAATGATGAGAATGTAAATAACCTGATATTCTTATCTTTAGTTCTTTTAAATTGATATAGATTAAAGTACAATAAACATCAAGAAATTGAATTATATATAGTGTAAAACATACAGTAAAAGATAGCCAATTTATGAAAATTAATATTTTTAAAATATCTACAAAAATAAAGATCAAATTATGTTGAAATTCCAGATTTAATGTGTTCTTATTCATAAGCAATTAAAATTGAATATTTTTAACTTCAAATTTGATTATACATAAATACTCTTTACTTTGATTTTTTTCCCCCTAATATAATCAGGATGTACAGTAAAACTTATATAAACAAGAATTACATGGTACCAAATATTTTTTCTGTTTAGACAGGTTTTTGTTTTATACAGGTTCTGCTTTTGGATAGGTTTTACCGTGCTTATCAATTTCATTATTATTGATAGTGAATTTACCAAAAGAAAAAACAAAACATTTTGGGCTTGATAATAAGTATTCTTCAGTAGTTTGTATTTCTATAATATTTTTAAAATTATTTTAATTTTAAAAATTTTCAAAGAAAGATAGAAACATGTTCAAAATGACAAAAAATTTTGTAATTTTTACCGTGTTAATTAATGTGGACAGTTTCAACATAAGTCAACTATAGGGGAGGTAAAAATGCTGAATGAATTGTGATTTATCTACATTCTTTTTTCTCTTGTGTGCAGCTCATGCCAGCTCAAAGTTTTTTATTGTGGTTCCTACATAGATCAGGGATGAGCAACCTTTTCCTAAGTGACTAAATATATGCCTGCCACTTTGAACAACCTAGATTTGAAAGCAGATCAGATTCTCAGGAATTTTTGTTGGTGGTCTAATCCAGATATATAGGCCTATCCTTATAAGCAACTGCAGTGGGACAGCTAGATAACAACAAATCTTACTCATTAGAGTCTGTATCTTACTCATTATTTATTTAATGTCTAAGGCAGGGGTCGGCAACCTTTTTTTTTTCGTAAAGAGCCATTTTAGGAATTATATTTACCAAAATAATACTTATGGAGCTGCAAGTCAGCAACTTGAATTATGAAATATTTTTGAAAATTGAACCTAAAACATTTTTTTTTTTTTTTTGTTACAATGGGTTTATTTGTGCTTTGCTTAAAGGTGCTGTAATAAAATACTGTAGTCCATACTGTACCATAAAATAAAATTTTTGTAACCTTTCGTGATTATTGAGCTCAATGTATTCAAGATCTTTTTGCTTTAAAAATAATTTTATTTCTTCAATGCAAGCAGCAAATCACACTAGCACTGCTCCTCTGGAAAGCCACCTAACTTTATTCTGTAAAAAAAAATCTGAATATTGGCTATTGACGTCATTAAGAAGTTCACAAATTTGCCAATGATATAGTGGTCTTGCCTTTATTTTGTTCACAATTTGTACAACCAGTCCATAACTAATGTTATTTCCTTCAGAAAAGTTTGCAAACAAAGTACCTCTTTATGGTTTATGCAATGAAAAGAAAAAAAGTCATGCATAATTTGTTTTTTAAACATAGAAACAAAACCTTTCTTTTCACCTTTGGTACTTGGTGCTCCATCAGTTGCAATTGATACTATTTTATTAATATCAATATTTTTACTTTTTAAACAGTTGGTAACAGCAGATTCTATATCCTCACCTCAAGTTTGTCCTGTAAGTGGCAGTAATCAAGTAACTCTTCCTGAGGTCCGTCAGAGTTAACATATCTACAAATAAGTACAAGCTATGCAATATCATTCACATCACAAGATTCATCACAGGCAATAGAAAATCCTGGTGTTGAACTTAAATCTGTAATCTGCTGACTAGTTACATCTGCCATATGAATAGTTCTGCTGTCTCTTACAGTTTTAGTAGACAATGGCATGTCTTTTATTTTAGCAATTATTTCTGTTTTATTTTTAAAATCACAAAAAAAAATATTCAGACATTTTAATAAAACAATCTTTCACAAAATCGCCATCTGTAAATGACTTTCCTCGTTTCACTATTTCTAGAGTAGTAACACAACTAGCAGTAGTTAATTGTATTGTTACTTGATTTTATCCAATTTGAAAATGTATCTTTACTTAAGTTCATTTTACATTGAATTTCTTCTGCTTTTCTTCTTTCTTCTCCCTCTCGATAAGTGTTTGCAAATGCTTTGTTTATTTAAAAAAAATGCCTTTGTACATTTTTTGTTATTAGAAAACTTTTCTTGACATTTTAAACACTGGGAATCCTTTTAAATTTGAAAGAACTGCATAGGATTCAGTCCATTCTCTTCTAAATTCTCAATTTTCTTCTACTTTTCTCTTTTTTTCAACCATATTAATTAGAAAAAGTAGAATTTCTAATCTAACAAATAAGAAAAATTATCTAAAAACCCATTTTTTTATATCTTGAAAACAAATAGATAATATTCTCTGGAAATAATATGATTATAATAAACTTACTTGATAAAACAGTAGAATAACTTCTATATAAAAGATAATATCCAATAGAGCACAAAACTAACAGCAGAAAACTTAGACCACTTACCAACACAAGAGCAACACTAGAATTCAAAATAAGAAGTGTCACAAATTCCAGGGACAAACATCTGCTTTTTCAGTCATGAAAATAAGGAAATCTTTCTATTTACAGTACAATAAACATTTCTCAGGAGCATAGTCTAATTTTACACTTTGTGTCATCTAAATCTTGTGTGACCAGGGAATCGGCACTTCTTCGATGCCCTGTCAGGATGGACACCACCGTGCCTCGGTTGACACGGAAGCTGCAGTGCCTCCAAATTAAGTCACGCAAACAATTGCATAATGGAGCGATCAGGTTCCGGATGGAGGGAGAGACAGCGCACTGGAAGTGACTTACGCAGATACTAGATTAACATAACAACCGTTTAATTGGTAATGATAGGCAATACAGTAGACCCCTCCATAACACTGTTGATAATTCCATGTTATATGAATTCCATGTTGTATGAGTCACTTAGATTTCACAAATACATGTGCCGGGCTGTGAATGGCTCACATATTTGTAAAATCTAAGTGACTCGTACAACATGGAATTCATATAACATGGAATTATCAACAGTGCTATAGGGGTCTACTGTACAGGACATACAATATATTGATTTGAATATGATAGAGTTTAGATACATCAGATATAATAGATATTATATCTGATGTATAATAGATGGATATTATATATCTAATAATAGATATTATTAGATATATAATAGATGGGGTTAAAGTTGTTCCGTGGTTCTCGAGAGAGAGAGTTTATAGTAAATGCGCGTGGCAATAAATACCTGGAATGTGGTTGATAGGTTGATGGATGATGACGTTACTCATCGATTTTAATCCCAACAAGGCACTTAATAAATCCGTTGACAATGAAAATAATCCAAGACAGAATGTTCAATGTAATCCAACACTTGGGCACTCAATAAGTTCAGTTTTCGCGGACGTGATGACTTTGGAACTGAAGACTTTATTTAGAGGGCTGGGTAATGACTATCTCCATCAGAGGAACGGCAGCGACCCTCCTAACTTTGTTGTTCTGTTCTGTATTGAACAGATGAAATCAAGATATTAGGTTGAGGTGATGAGAAAGCATCTTTGTCAGGCCTGAGAACTTAACAGAGGTTTTACTTCCAGGTGTAAAAGTTGACTGTTATTTAACGAGATTATAGTTACGATGTGACGTTATAAAATAATAATGTAAACATACTGAAAGCTAGGATTCAGATCCCCACACTTGATAATTGCAACCAGATGTTCTGTTCTTTATAAATGCTTTTATATTTATAATATTCTTACTCTGACAGTGAAATGATAAGTGATTAGTGAAATTAGAAAGTCTCTTAACTCATAAATGTCACTAATATTTTTTTATCTTTTTCTTTTAAAAATTATATACATATATACAATTTTCTTTTAAAAAATAATATACATATAACAAAATAAAATTTTTAATTTTATTTTGTTATATGTATATTATTTACTTATTTAAAAAGAGCCTCAATTATGCATTAAAAGAGCCGCAGGTTGGCGACCCCTGCTCTAAAACATGCAGGCAAAGTGGAAAGAGTAACAAATTATGAATATTTAAATCATATTATGTATAATGATATATCTTTAAAAAAACATACTATTTTCTTCATTTTCTTCTTTTATATTTTTTATATCTGAATTGAAGTTTTCTGTTAATTCTTGTATTTGTTGATTGAATATCTTTTCATTTTCAATATGAAGCTATGAAATAAAATGAACAGTTTTAAAACTAAAAAGTAAAATTTTTTTATAAAAATGAAAATAAAGTTTTTTTAAACTAAATAATAATAATAAAAAGTCTTTCATTAATATTATTGAACAAGTATAATTCTTATTTATATATGATAAATTTTATTATTAAAATTATATTAAATCTTTGTAATATACTTTTTCAATTTTTTCTTTTTCAATATTCAGTGAAGATATTTCAGCTTTCATATTTTTATTCTCATCTAATAATAAAAAAGACATTATATGAATCATAAACTGTAACATATATATTTATGATAATTTAAATTTTTAGGTATTCTTTTTTTTTCATATTATTATTAACCCTTAACTAACATGATAATTTTTTTTAAGTAACATGGTGCAGTCTCACAGATAGCTTACTTTAATTTGTATTGAGGATTGCATCATTTATAATTAAAAGGACTTATTCAGTTTGAAAGATAAGAACTAGTAAACTTTTGTTGTTGATTATACAAGATTAAATTGAATTTTTTCAGAATTATTAATCTTTTTTCTTTTCTCATTAGTAATATTGATATAAAATTAATTTATTTTGTACAAATAATATATCTTAACTGTGTCTGCAGAGTCTGCACATTATTTTGCCACAGCTAAGACGTACAGATTGAAAAACAAACAATTATTTATTGTGAAATCGTCACAATGCCGGGCTGCAATTTTCAATCATATTTTTAATTTATTTAATTTAAAATACGTAGGCGGTTTTTCAATCTCCAATGGCTCATAAAACAAAGATAAGTGTAAATAACAAAAGGAATTCATTACCAAAAATTAGGTACAAACATGGTTACCTTTTGGCATAATCACTGTAAAGATTGAGAAATTTGTCATATCTGCAAACGAGCTTTACAATCCTATCTGGAGTCACTGGAGAAGGAAAGAAGTGGAAGTCTTCACATATTAAAGGTGTGTGAAGACTTCCATCCAGCTTGGAACTTTAGCACACCCAGCATATAGCCCCAATTTAGCACCAAGTGACTTCCACCTCTTTCCTGAACTGAAAACGTAGCTAGGAGGATGTTCGAGACTAATGATGATCTTCAAAATAATGTTAAGGTCCATCTCAAGTCACTGGAGGCAACATTCTATAAAGAGGGGATTGTAAAGCTCGTTTGCAGATATGACAAATTTCTCAATCTTCATGGAGATTATGTCAAAAAGTAACCATGTTTGTACCTAACTTTTGGTAATAAATTCATTTTGTTATTTAAACTTGTCTTTGTTTTATGGGCCACCAGAGTTTAAAAAAAAAAATTCCCTTGTATATGTTCTCCATCTCAAATTAGTAGTGTCTTGCCTCTGTACTTCATACTTTTCCTGATAACAACAGTCATGCCATCATCTATGTAATTCCATTCAGAGGAAAATTTTTGAATTGAAATCATGTGACTCCAGTCTAGACTGGAAATTCATATACAGTTAATCAGGACCTCTTGCCCCTAAGTTTCCCATAACTGGTCTTGACTTTTATCTATCTAACACCATTCTCAAGATTAAGGAAAGACAGATGGACAACAGTGGGAATTTATAGGTCTACAATTTTTTCAAATTGCAGTCCAACTAGTAATGTTACTTATGTGCAGCAGTCTCAGAGACCACTCAAGAAAACAACTGGAATTAAATGTAAACTATTACAGATTACTACATATGCTACTTTTAAACTGGCAGACAGGAAGTTCATTTAAAGATATAGGGCAGGATAATTTTCTCTGCTAATAGGAAACTTACAGAAAAATTAAATTCCCTAATGGTCTTCAGACCACTCCATGTTAGTTGAGGATTATGTTAAATGAATAACATGTAAATAACAAACCTTCTAGATGAATTAAGTTGCCAATAGTCTCGTGTAAACTATTCATTGCCGATGATATTTTGGCTATTTCTAAATAAATATAAAAAAAAAATTGAAGTTAAACATATAAATTGAACATATAAAAAGAAATTTTAAAAAATATATGTAAAACAAAATTAAATTAAAATGATACACACAATGTTTATTAATTATAAAAACTTAAGCCAACATATATGTAAGAACCATTTGTTTTTATTCTATTGGAATATATATATATATTTGTGTAGACAATAAATAAATAGACAGATACAATATTGAAGAAAAATTCTGTAACCAGAAACAAAATTTTATTCTTTAAGTATATTTAAGAAACTGTGTTTTTATTTCAAGCATATATAGTAATATATAAGGTAAGTAAAATGCATTCATATATATATATATATACCAAATGAAATTATCTTTAATACAATAATATAATGTGATTTTAAAAATTTTGATATGATTTTATAAAAAATAAAAAAAATAATCTTCAGTCTTTTAAATAGAAATTTAATGTCATTTAATGTTTAAAAAAAATGCTCTAATTTTGTAATATTTCAATAGTAATTATTTACTTGTTATACTTTTAAGAATAAAATAACATTTTACCTCAGTATTCTACATATAATAAACCTAGATCATGTGTTTTTATCAAGGTATATTAACTATCCAATAGAGACATTACTTGAGGAGAAATCTTTTATATAAGACTTAAGAGTAATAATTATAAATTTAAAATGTAATCTAAGCTACATAAGTAGCTTAGATTACATTTTAAATTTATAATTATTCAATTTACACTAATTAACAAAAATTGTGAAATATACAATATTATGAACTTTCTGAAACATATATGAAAAGTATTATATTAAGTAATTTGAGAAAGAAATTTGATATTAATTTCTTAGAACTGATTAAAACTGAAAAGAACATATATCATACTGTACTAACAGAAAAAAAAAAACAGTAATTGGAAGACATTATACATTTTTGTATATGTTAAAAACTAGAAAAAAAATGTCTATCGAATAAAGTGATGTAATAATTTATTGTGTTAATTAAATTAAACTAAATTTGTTAATAAAAGTGAAAAATTAACAATATTAACTTCTGTAAGTCCCTATAACAGGGATGAACTGCCACATCTTATGAATAAAAAGATAAATGTATAGATGAAATCTTTATCGCTGTATTCAATGAATACAATAAATTATTCAGTATTATAACTACAGTACACTTCTCTTAATAAGTTGTCTTCATTTTGTAACTGCCTAATAACCATTAAGGATTAAAATTACAAGACCAATTGTTAGTTTGAATTAGGTTGTTATTTAAGATTTCCAGTCACAAAAATGCATAACTTTCTTAGAACACCGCACTCAGTTAACCTTTTAAATTGAGATCCTCTCTTTTTTCTGCCGCATCTAATTTGTTTTCTAAAGCTTTTATTTCTTCTTTTAAAATAATATTTTCTTTTAATATTAGATTGGCAGCCTGAAAACAATAAACACATATTGTTAAATTATTAAATTCTATATAATTATTATTATTCTGTTTTTGAAATTTCTACTATGATATTATAGTTGAAAATTTTAAAAAATATTTTAGGAAGTTCTAAATTATTTAATTTATTAACAATTGGATGCAGGAGCTTATACTTTTTTCCATTCATTAAATTCCTCCAAAAACTTTTCTAAACTAATAGTTTTCACTATTTGATGCTTACAAGGGTTTTGTATAACTTCTTCCATAATTTTATCCCAATTTTTAATATATGTTACAACAGAGAACAATGTCAGAAAGTGGAAAGGTAAACAATAGATTTAAATATTTCAAATTTTGACGAAGAATATTTCTATTGGTTGGTTTTTAAATATTTAAAAAATATTGACGAATCGGAGCTACTTTTCTTTTCTTCTTTAAAAATAATACTTTAATAATAAATGCATTGTTATTGGCTAATTTTTAAAACTATTCAAACGTCCGACCAATAATAAATAATTTTAAATCGTTATCGCGAATAATTTTCGATAATAAGATTTATCTTTATTAAATAAGATTTGTGGATTTTATTAATATACGTCAACTCTAAAAATTAAATAATTTTTAATGTTTTGATTGTAATTATAGATAAATCAATAAACCGTTACTGGTTTTTTTAATAAAAATCCGTCTGTTACGCATGCGTATAAGTAGCGTCGAACAATTTTTTTTAACTCCGATATTATATATATATATATTACGTCATATCTAATAAGTTCGTTTATTGGACGATTTCCTTTAATTAAAAATTCTCCGTCACGGGTTAATTACGAATTACGGACATCGTTATTTATTATTAGGTTACTCCCAACTTCGTAACGCGATTGTTATTGGATTACTTAATTTAAAAATTGTTCGCGTCATAACTGGATCGTTCCTATCTATTCTCCACCAATCAGAGCGTTACATTTGGCTGAGTGAATACAATAGCCTCTGTGGATCTCATTCGAAGAGGAGTGTAAGTGTTGAGAGGAATTCTGAAGGTTTTAAATGGATAGAAAAACACTTCGACAGGATATTATGAAGATTCTAATACTTGTTATTGCTTTATTTGTCAATATAAACTGTGAAAAGGTTTACTTTCACGAAAAGTTTAACGATGGAGGTGAGAGAACGTTCACTTTTTTTTCAATGAAAAATTCTTTCCAAGTTTCAGAATAAGAAATTATTTTAATTCCGAAATTAACGCTCTGAAAATTACTTCTCCTATAACTTGATTCTCCTCTAACTGAATGTGCTGTGTAAGGAAGAGACTTTTACAGGGGTTAAATGTCTAATTACATTATACTGTGTGTGTCTGTGCATAGTACTGTATATAATATAATATATTAAAAAAACAATTTATTTTTATAGTATTTTAATCATAAATTTTTAATATACAGAAGCCTGGAAAGAAAGATGGGTTCAGTCTGAACATAAAGGAAATGAAATGGGTGAATTTATATTAACTCATGGAAAATTTTATGGTGATTTTGAGAAAAGTAAAGGTATGTCTTCGATTTATATTAATTGTTTAATTTAATAATTAAATTTGTGAAAAATGAGCTGCAAATTTTTGTTAAAATAGGTTTACAGACGTCCGAGGACGCCCGATTCTACGGTCTCTCGGCTAAATTCGAACCTTTCTCAAACAAAGACGACGTGCTAGTTATACAGTTTACGGTTAAACACGAACAGAATATAGATTGTGGTGGTGGTTATTTAAAACTATTTGATTGCAGTATAGATCAGAAAGATCTTCATGGAGAAAGTCCATATCTCATCATGTTTGGTAAGAGATTATTTTGGTGAATAAAATTTGTGGAAAAATTGTTTTTTTTTTCTAAGCATTAAAAATTAAATTTATAAAATATTTTCTGTGTGTAAAAATGCAGAATGAAATAAATAAATCTTAAATTGTTCTTTTCAATTTTTATTAATAATAGGACCTGATATTTGTGGTCCATCAACTAAGAAAGTTCATGTGATATTTAATTATAAAGGAAGGAATCTGTTGATTGAAAAAGATATAAGATGCAAAGTAAGTATTTAAAGGATTTGATGGTTTATAAATGATATTATTAAGGAATTAATTGAATTTCATCAGAAAAATATGTAGAAAAATGAGGAATTTATCACAGATAATGTAGAATATGTTTTTTAAAAATCTTTTCAAGATGTTAATTAAATAAAATGCTTCATTTAAAGATGGTGAAAATTTATTCTAGTTGTTTATGAATTAAATTGCATAACAGAAAGAAATATATAGTTAAGTGTATCTGATAAAAACTATAGATCAGGTAAAATCAAAACATAAAATTAAATACATTTTTTTCCTGAAAGACCCCATAGAACATTAGTTTTCGTAGAGCCATGTTAAAAATTTATTCCATAATAATGTTATGTACTCATGCCAGTTTTATAGAATGAAATTCCATATTTATGAGGATTTTATCATATTCATTATTTGTTAATTTTTGTTTTAAATTTTTAGGATGATGAATATACACATTTATATACATTAATTGTGAAACCTGATAATACATATATTGTAAAAATTGATAACGATAAAGTAGCAAGTGGAGATTTGGAGAATGATTGGAACTTTCTACCACCAAGAAGAATTAAAGATCCAAATGCAACAAAACCTAAAGACTGGGATGATCGACCAATGATTGATGATCCAGAAGATAAAAAGCCAGAGGTATATAACTGAAAGTTAATTGTCTTTTTAAAATAAATAAATTTTAATAAATTTTTTTCATCAAGGATTGGGATAAACCAGAATATATTCTTGACCCCGAAGCAGTGAAACCAGAAGATTGGGATGATGAGATGGATGGAGAATGGGAACCTCCAATGATTAATAATCCAGATTACAAAGGTGAATGGAAGCCAAAACAGATCGATAATCCTGATTATAAAGGACCATGGATCCATCCTGAAATTGATAATCCAGATTATGTTGCTGATCCGCTTCTTTACAGCTATGAAGAAATATGCATTGTTGGTTTTGATTTGTGGCAGGTAACATTTATCTTTGTAATTTTAAAACATATAATAATATCGGGTCAAATAGAAAGTCACTGCCATCAAAAAGCATTTGTAAAAATGTCTGTAGATGATAATGATAGGGTAAGAAATTAAAAAAACACCTTTTTTCAACTGGTGATGCAAAAGAGACATAATAAAATTGTGTTCCAAGACTGTAAATTTCAAAAAAGTTTGCAAAAATGCCAATATAAATCAATAAAAAAAGATCGGTGGTCGTATGAGTATTGACTCAGATTCTCTGTGAAGCAGACTGTCAAAATATGGCAAAAGTTGATGGTGACAATGGACCATCTGAATTCACTGTCAGAAATTGGTTCGTTCAGTTCAGGTCTGGAAACTACAGCACTGAAGACAAACCATGCCCTGGATGACCACAGGAGATTGATTGATGATGATCTAGTGAGGTATCGAATACACAAACATAAATTGAGTGTCACACACACATCCTGACTTAACACAAGTGTGATTGAATTTCCAAGTGCACATCACTGTTGAATCAGCATCTGAACTACTCACTTCTTTGGTTACTTGTGATCTGCAGTGAGAAGTGGATTTATTATGACAATCCAACTACCTGAGTGTTGCCTACATGCCTATGTGTTGCCCAGCAAACAGCCATCCACCAAGTCTTAGTGAGCTTTGAACAACAAAAGGTGCTGCTGTGTGTTCTGAGATTGTCAAGGTATCATTTATCATCACTATATGTTGTCAGGCAAAACAACTGAGAGTGATAGCTACTATGACATACTTGATAATCTGGTTGCAAAGGATTACTGAAATTTGTCAGGAAGGAAGTATTGTTCCATCAAGATAACACTAAACCACATACCAGTAAGAAGACATTTTGCAGCAGCTGGGTTGGAAACTCAATCATCCACCATATTTTCAAGGTCTTGCCACATCACATCAGTGAACATTTTTTCAGTGTTTGCAAAATCATCTGGTTTAGGCAATATTTGACCATGAAGAAGTTGCAAAAAGTAATATGGATGACTTGTTTGCTTTCAAATAGCCATCTTTCTTCAAACTGAGCATTTAAAAGCTGGTTGAACATTGGTCTGGAGTCATAGCTAACAATGGGGAATACTATTCTGATTAATTTTTTTGTATTATCCATAACACAAAAAATCACTTTACTGAAAATTAGGGTGCAGATAATGACTTTCTAATTTTCCTGATAAATTTATTTATGAAAATTATTCTTATATTTTTGTTTGAGAAAAGAGAATACAGTAGAGCATCAATTATCCGAATGCCAATCAACCAAAACGTTGGTTAACCAAAAGCATCCCAGTCAGACTGTGTTGTGCTGAATCAAACGTTTTTGATACTAGATTAACTTCTAAAGTATAATTTTTTTTTTGTTTTTATATTTTTCAATATATTTATTTTGATTGTACAAAATAAAGAAATAATTTTTAACGATACAATAGCCATGATTATTATTATAAAAATTTTTGTTAGTCTTAACATTGACAAAAATTCAACACGAAGCAACATGAGATATATTAATATACTATTATTGGGATATACTAATATACTATATTAATAATGTAATTTTTCGTACATAATCGGTTATCCGAAAAATCGATTTTCCGAACAACCCCAGTCCCCAATTGATTTGGATAATCAATGCTCTACTGTATAATTATTGATATTTTCCATAAGATAAATGCAACATTTAAGAGACATTAAATTTGATGAAAGTGTATTTTCTATAGGTAAAATCTGGAACAATATTTGATAATATACTTATAACAAATGATGTTGATTATGCAAAAAAAATTGGAGAGGAAGATTGGCAAAATCTCAGGGTAATAAATTATAGTTATAAAAAAATTTTATTAATGAAACCATGGTATTTTAATAATAGTTACTTTTATTTATATTATTACAGGAAGCTGAATACAAAATGAAACAATTACTTGATGAAGAAAATAGACAAGATACAATACCAAAGCCAGGTACTGAAGAAGAGGATGAGGATGATGAGGATGAGGACGATGATTCCAGTTCTGAGGTATTACTGTGAATCTTTCAAAGAATAATAGTCTGGATTAAATGTGAAACATTATAAAACTAATCTTTTAGTTTTATAATGTCTCATTTCATTGGAAAATATTTGGCTAACTTGTTATATTTGTGAAAAAAGTGAAAACTATTCACAAATATCAAAATTTTATTTCAAAATTTATTGTTTAATTATTATTCAATTTTCACTAATAGAATATTAAAAAAAAAAAAATACATTATATTATTCAATGACAGATACAAT